CGGTGCATGTTGTAAATCGGTAAATTGGTCGTTCAAAGACAAATTGGAAGGTTCCTCCCACTGAATTGGACTTCCGAAGGGTATTAGTGACCATGGTAAACATTTCGGTAATTTTTATTTCCGGGCGAAAAAAAGTCTAAAAGTCTAATATTGAAACCTAATATCCACGCTTTTTGAGAAAATTTAGAGATTTTGAAACCCGGTGACGAAAAGTTAAGGGATACATCTCGGGGTCATGTAATGCCGTCTGGAATCATATATAATCATTATATGTTGTCATAAATGTTCGTGGTAGGTTTGATTAAATGAAATCTATGCAAGTTGTATACCGGTAAATTGGCCGTTTAAAGGCAAATTGGATGGTTCCATCCACCCAATTGGACTTCCGGAGTGTATTAGGGAACATGGTAAATAATTCGGAAAATTTTATTTACAGGCAAAACAAAAGTAAAAAAAACTCCAAAATTGAAGGCGTATCCACACTTTTTGCGAAATTTTGGAGGTTTTGGGGCCTGGTTTAGAAAAGTCTTGAAATTCTAAGTTATGTATCACGGAGTCGTATAATGTCGTTTGGAACCATTTATGATCATTATATGTTGTCATAAATGTTCGTGGTAGGCTTGATTTAATGAAATCGGTGCAAGTTGTAAACCGTAATTGACCATTTAAAAGAAAATTGGATTGTTCAACCCACTCGATCGGACTCCTGGTGGGTTTTAGCGACCATGGTCAAAATTTCGGCAATTTTTATTTGCAGGCGAAAATAAGTAAAAAAATTCAAAAATTGAAGGCTTATATCCACGCTTTTTGAGAAATTTTGGAGGTTTCGGGTCACGGTGTCAAAAAAACTTGAGATTTCAGGAAATACATCTCGGGGGTCATATAATGACGTTTTGAACCATAAATGATCATTATATGTTGTCATAAATGTTCGTAGTAGGCTTAAGTTAATGAAATCGGTGCAAGTTGTAAATCGGTAAATTAGTCGTTTAAAGGCAAATTGGATGGTTCCTCCCCCCGAATTGGACTCCCGAAGGGTATTAGTGACCATGGCAAACATTTCGTCAATTTTTATTTCCAGGCGAAAAAAAAAGTCTAAAAATTCTAAAATTAAAACCTAATATCCACGCTTTTTGAGAAAAATTTGGAGATTTTGAAACCCGGTGTCGTAAAGCCTCGAAAAGTTAAGAGATACATCTCGGGATCATATAATGCCGTTTGGAATCATATTTAATCATTATATGTTGTCATAAATGTTCGTTGTATGCTTGATTAAATGAAATAGGTGCAAGTTGTATATCGGTAATTTGGCCGTTTAAAGGCAAATTGTATGGTTCCATCCACCCAATTGGACTCCCGGAGTGTATTAGGGACCATGGTAAACAATTCAACAATTTTTATTTTCGGGCAAAATAAAAGTAAAAAAAAACTCCAAAATTGAAGGCTAATATCCATACTTTTTGAGAAATTTTGGAGGTTTCGAGGCCCGGTTTCGAAAAGCATTGAAATTCTCGGTGATATATCACGGAGTCATATAATGTCGTTTGGAACCATATATGATCATTTTTTGTTGTAATAAATGTTCGTGGTAGACTTGAGTTAATGAAATCGGTGCAAGTTGTAAACCGGTAAATTGGTCGCTCAAAGGCAAATTGGAGGGTTCTACCCACCTAATTGGAATCTTGTAAGGTATTAGGGACAATGGTAAACATTTTGTCAATTTTTATTTCCGAATTAAAATAAATCAAAATATTCTAAAATTGGAGTCATATTCACGCTTTTTGGAAATTTTGGAGGTTTCGGGGTCTGATGACGAAAAGACTCGAGATTTTAGGGGATACATCTCGAGGTCATATTATGCCGTTTGGAACCATATGTAACCATTATGTGTTGTCATAAATGTTCGTGGTAGGCTTGAATTAATGAAATCAGTACTGGTTTTAAATTGGTAAATTAGCCGTTTAAAGGCAAATTTGTTGATTCCACCTACCCAATTGGACCCCCGAAGGGTATTAGTGACCATGGTAAACGTTTCGGCAATTTTTATTTCCGGGCGAAAAAAAATCTAAAAATTAAAAAATAGAAGGCTAATATCCACGATTTTTGAGAAATTTTAGAGTATTCGGGGCCCGGTGTTTAAAAGTCTTGAAATTCTAAGGAATACATCTTGTGGTCATATAATGTCGTTTGGACCCATATATGATCATTATTTGTTGTCATAAATGTTCGTGGTAGACTTGAGTTAATGAAATCGGTGCAGGTTGTAAACCGATAAATTGGTCGTTTAATGAAAAATTGGATGGTTTCCTCCACCCAATTGGACTCTCGGGGGGTATTAGGGACCATGGTAAAAATTTCGGCAATTTTTATATCCGGGCGAAAAAAGTCATAAAATTCCAAAATTAAAGGCTAATATACACGCATTTTGAGAAATTTCGAATGTTTCGGCGCCCGTTGTCGAAAAGCATTGAGATTTTAGGGGGATACATATCGGGGTCATATAATGTTGTTTGGAACCATATATGATCATTATATGTTGTCATAAATGTTCGTGGAAGGCTTTATTTAATGAAATCGGTGCAAGTTGTAAACTGGTAAATTGACCGTTTAAAGGAAAATTGGATAGTTCAACCCACCCAATTGGACTCTCGAAGGGCATTAGGGACCATGGAAAACATTTCGGCTTTTTTTAATATCCGGGCGAAAAAAAGTCAAAAAATTCAAATATTGAAGGTTAATATCCATGTTTTTTGAGAAATTTCGAATGTTTCGGGGCCCTGTGTCAAAATAATTGAGATTTTAGGGGATACATCTCGGGGTCATATAATGCCGTTTGGAAGCATATATGATCATTATATGCTGTCATAAATGTTCGTGGTGGCATTGAGTTTATGAAATCGGTGCAAGTTGTAAACCGGTAAATTGGTCAATTAAAGGCAAATTGGATGGTTCCACCCATCCAATTGGACTCACGGAGGGTATTAGGTACCATGGTAAATATTTCGACAATTTTTATTTGCGGGCGAAAAAAAAGTAAAAAAATTCCAAAATTGAAGGCTAATATCCACGCTTTTTGAGAAATTTCGAAGGTTTTGGGCCTGGTGTCGAAAAGCATTGAGATTTTAGGTGGTACATCTCGGGGTCATATAATGCCGTTTGGAACCGTATATGATCATTATTTGTTGTCATAAATGTTCGTGGTAGGCTTGAGTTAATGAAATCGGTGCAAGTTGTAAACTGGTAAATTGGTCGATTAAAGGCAAATTGGATGGTTCCACCCAGTCTATTGAACTCCTGGAGGGTATTAAGGTCCATGGTAAACATTTCGGCAATTTTTATTCTCAGGTTTGGTTCAAATTAATAATTTGCGGGTTATAATCAGGTCGGGTAATTCTCGGGTTTGAGTCGTGTTCGGTTGAAATCAATAATTTGCGGGTTATAATCAGATTGAGTCATTTTCAAGTAAGATCATTCTCGCGTTTAAGTCGGGTTCGGTTCAAGTCAATAATTTGCGGGTTATAATCCGGTTGGGTCATTTTCATGTCGGGTCATTCTCAGATTCAAGTCGGGTTATGTTCAAGTCTATAATTTGCTGGTTACAATCAAGTCGGGTCAATTCCAAGTGAGGTCATATTCGGGTTCAACTACCTATAATAGATAATTATCATTTTTATCAAGCTAATTAGTTTCTTTGATTATAATATATATGGCAATATACGAGGAAACTATAGTCTATAATTTAGGAAGATAATTATCTCCTTTGACCATACAACAAATATATGTTGTATTTAACTCTTAAATTTGAGGATGATGTTCCTTTCACCCTAGACAAAATGTTTTGATCAACAATAATAAGGTGCTGTAAATTGCATTTAAGGTGATTTGAAATCTGGTTAGGAACTATTTGGGTTGAATTTAGGTTGGGTCAATAATAAGTCGTGTTGATTTCGAGTCGAGTTAGTAACAGATTGGGTTGAATTTTTGGGTCGGGTTAGTAATAGGTCTGGTAAAATTCGGGTCGGTTTAATAACAAGTCAAGTTGAATTCGGGGCGGGTCAATAACAAGTCGGGTTGATTTCGGGTCGGGTTTGTAATAGGTTGGGTTAAATTCGGGTCAGGTTAGGAACAAGTCGGGTTGAATTCAGGCCAGGTTAGTAAAAAGTCGGGTTAAATTCGGGTTTTGACAAGTTAAAATGGGTTTGGGTCAATTTCGGTTCAAGTCGGGTTGGGTTCAGGTAAATAAATTACGGGTTACATTCGGGTCAGGTCATCTTCAAGTCAGTTCATGTTCGGGTTCAGGTCTCACATACTCGGGTCAACTCGGGTTTAGGGTTGGTTTCAGGTCGAGCCAGTTCAGGTTTGGGTCACCATTTTTTCAGGTTTAGATGGGTCGTTTAATAAACGGGTTTGAGTCGGTGTTTCGGATCGGGTCAACTTTTGACAGTTCTAGTCGTATTGTAATGAATTTTGTAGATAGATTATTTTGTTGATGAGTTATATTCATTCTATTACACTTTTCTTTTGTGTGATTGTGTTAGTCTTAGTGTCAGTGTTAGTGTTACTTGAGAGATCAAGGGGAGCCAAATGGTGACCTTAATTTTTCTAGTCCGTATCGAACTGGGTTGCACTAGTAATCTTTGGTGAAGGGGTGTGTTATATCCTATTCAGCTTATAATAAATCGAGTACATATCAATTAAGGACTGGAAATCAGTAATATGCTATAAATATTACGGAATACGGTATTTTCATTCATTTTGATGATGTATATGTTGTTGCAGTCTTTGCAGAGGTCTTATGTTGCTTAAACTTGTCTGGGATTCATTGATTTTGGCTTTGAACAACATTCTGACTCGAGTTAGGAGCTGTGCTTAGCTGTTGATAATCTTTTATTCTGTTAGCTCAAAACTTACAGCTGACATATCGGGATGGTGTATTTGTACTGATTCTTTGTGGCTGAGAGAAGTTGATGACTTATTGACACTCTTTTTGTGATATGAAGGGGCTGGAGGGTTTATCTGCAGGATGAATATGGCACATCAGTCGAAGCAATGGATCGAATGATCAACCTGTGAGTTTTTTGCTACTATGCCTTATGTGTGAGATACAGGGCACTATTTTCTTTCCACATAAATTTGTAATTCCCATGTATTAACTGGTACTCTTTGACTCCTTCAGGGGTGTCAACAAGTCTGCACGTCATGGAAAAATCGATGCTTATGCTGCAATGGTACAGTTTACAACATTTTATTGCCTTCCTATATTCTTTTAATCTTTTTCCATCCTTCACTTTGATCTTCAGTGACCAGATCAATGTTTTGTTGCTAATTAGAGACTATATAACTACTACGTATTTTTCTATGCAAAAAACACCTCTATTTTTGATTGATCGCATACAAGCCCTTTTAGGAATAAGGTTTTGGTGTTGTTGCTGTTGTATAATTAATTTATCGCATATCTTACTCCATTGTTTTACATCAAATAGATGGTGTTGGAGAGATATTTCACCAAGTCTGGTGAAGGAACTGAACTTGTATGGCCAAAGCAATTGGAATTACAAGAAAAGATTCGGAAGGGTCCGCCAGAAGATGATGATGGTTTTTTCTTTTGAAATGTAGCATATTGTGAAGCACTCCCACAACTTAAATACACACACCGGCCAGTTTATGTGAACAGACTCATACTGCCTTGAAGGCGGAAAGCAGAATAGAGGTATATCTACAAATTCAGATTCATTTGTTATGTATATTTTAGACAAGAAAGATTGATATCCTGCATAAACGAGTTTTCTGTATAATCTTGTGCATTTTTTCATTTGAGCGTTGTCCACTGCTTTTGTATGTGATTTTAGTATGCAATTGGTTCATTTCTATACTTCTATGGACTAATGCTTGTAATTTTATGCCTACTAATATTCGCATAAATTGATCCATGTAACTGTATTAACGAAACATGTGACGTATTACTTGTTACAAAATTTTGCTAATCCTTTTCTATGAGCCCATTAATAATGTTTTTACAAAATACCGAGTAATACATAAAATTCTTTGTGAAAGTCGCAACATATAGCTTGTGGCAGTTCTTCCAGGATAATGGGTACTTACATATGTACATTTTTTTTGAAGACCACTTACATATATGTACATTATAGCTAGGTTAATGGCAAAGTTCAGTTTTAGAAAACCGATCAGAAAACTGTTTTTTTTTTTTTTTTTTTTTATTATTATTATTTTAATCAATCTAGTTTTTTATTTTTATTTTTATTATTATTATTAAATATTTAAGTCAAGTGGATGGATGGACTAAAATTGGTAAAAAATAAGGGTCAAAATTAAAACTAATTACAATAGTTACGTATTTAACTGACATTTAAAAAAAAAATTGCATAGAAGTTTATCTAAAATATTCCCTCGAAAAAAGTTTATCTTAAATATTATCGAGATAGGTTTTTTATTTCCTTAAATAAAAAAGATAGATAACCTCCTCCCTCTTATTATATAAACTCATCATAGCAATTATTACAATCCCTATTGTTTGTGTTTGTTTTACATCTTCTCAAATTGATTAGTGAATCATGTCTAAACTACCACCCGGTTATCATTTCAACCCGAAGGACGATGAGCTGATTAACCATTATATTTGGAGAAGAGCATTATATGGTGTTTCTTCATCTTGTCCGAGGATGCCTCTTGTTGATAATATCTTCGGCGAAAATGCTGATCATCCGTCTACTGTCTTCGACTCTTTCGGACAATCTGACCGTGAAGAAGAGGATACAGTTCGGTACTTCTTTACAATTCCCAAGAACGTGTCTAGTGACAAAGATTACAGTTGTGTCAAGAATAGAATTCGAACAGCTGGTAAACATGGTACTTGGAAACTCCAAAGAAGTGATCCTGTTGTTGTCAAGAATACTAGTACTGGCCAAGAGGAAGTCATTGGGTTTCGAAAGCTGTTGAAGTTCATGGAGTCGACGAGCAACGGAGTTGAATGGAGTATGCATGAGTTTACCAGTAAATTGTTGGAGGAGAAGATTAATAATGTCAACAACTTTGTTCTTTGTAGGATCACCAAGAAACCCTCCACAATTAGACAAAAAAGACTACATAGTGTTAGTGTTGCTAATACTACTACTAACAATGATAATGATAATAATGTAGATGTTCAAGAAAACAAAAGGCAACACATAAGCTTGGTACCGGCTGTGATGAAAGAACAAGGAGTTTCTTATGACGGAATCTTTAACCAACAAGTCGGGGTTCCCGTTGATAATAATAATGTGGTGTTAGGACAACATCATCAACAACAAAATCATGTACAAGAAAATCATGAGCAATTAGGTTGTGGTGATGACATGTTATCAATACAAGATTATTCGCGTGGTTCAGACTTTGATCTTGCACCGGAGTGGTCTAGTGAGGGACATAATAATCAAGAATTACAAGAGTTGGTTGGTTCAGATTTTGATCATGAAGCGGAGTTGGCTAAGTTTGCTGAAGAATATGATAATGAAGTTGTATGCGTGGGTGATCAGATGCTTCAAGGTCACGTAGACGACGAATCAGGTTCTGGTGATGACATGATATCAATGCAAGACTTGCTAGGTTCAGATTTTGATATTGAAGCGGAATTAGCTAAGTATTGTCAAGGAGATAATAATCTAGCGGTATGGGCAAACCAATTGGAATTGCAACAATAATAGAATACAGTCAATCAACAAGGGTTTTCTTGTGTCAATGAAACGATTACACAATATTAATTTTCTTTAATCATGTATTTTCCATAATTTTAGTTGAGATTTTACATGTTCTTAGAATTACACATGTGAATTTAATATTAATCCGTGATAATATATGAATCATTCAAAATAGGGTTTGTGATTTGTTATTTTTCTGTCCCTTTAATTTCATAGTTTTTATAGCCTTGATCATCAAATAGTGCTTAATATATAAATCAAACTACCTGGCTTCATTCTTCACCAAATATTTTTCTGTCACTTTTATATTTTATATTTTCTGCCTCTTGTTGATAATATATGTTATTGAGTTTCAGACAAAAACTGTAAAAATACACAAAAGAGCAGTAATAAGGTTTACAATAATGGCTTCATTAATTAATCAATATGACTAAAAAAATTATGACTTAGACGCCTTTATGAGGACACTGCACTGTATTCTTCACTTAATATGACCACATATTTCAAGAACAGAACAGTTCTCAAAGAACTTTTATCAAATGAAAGAAGAGATCAGAACTTGAAATTGTATCCTTTGATAAGAAAGCAGAACTTAGCAGCATTCCTGTCAAGATAGCCACTAGTGAAAAGATGACATTGGAAGTAGCTTCATCGGTAGATCATTAACCACAAGGGTTACATAAATCGAAGGGCCGAATCATTACAAACAAGGGTTACATAGGCTGATCCAAAACATACCAAACACTTGATGACCAGCACCTAACCGAGGGGCCGAATCATTATCCGCAAGGGTTACATAAGTACCAAACTTTTTCACATAGATGCCCACCATGAAATCGATGTAGTTTCTCATCAGCATAACTCATGACTTCACTCTCTGATTGGTTTAAGTATATCCAATTCTCTTCCAAAAACCACTCATTGCAATCTATAATGAGGGGTCTCCCAAACATATTGCCACCTCTAGGTTAAAAAATCAGTTTGACAGGCTCAATGGCCTCTTTTTTTTATGGAAATGACAATATTTGGTGAAGAATGAAGCCAGGTAGTTCGGAAATTTGATCAATAGATCTTGATCCCTTACCCAAATCTATTTTTAAATAGCCAAGAAAGTATCCCGCCTCTCAGATAAAGTCATCAGATATCTATCTCGAGTTAACTTCGACCAGATCGAAGCGGTTACAGTAAAGCAGTCTGAAATATGTGCACCAGTAAAATAATTAAAAGCCATCAATGCAATTAATAAAAAGTTCCCAGCAAGAAAAAATATATTATTATTTCTAAAGGATTTACCTCTTTTCGTCAACTTAAGTTTTCTGTATTCAGAGGTGAGCTCTGCAAGCTCGACGACAAAAGGAGGAGCATGCATAATACAAGGTCAAAGGATGTATCCAAGCAGGTGAAGCATCCATCAGCTTACAGCATATTCACCTGTAATTTCGCACAATGAAACACCAGTCAGTAATCCTAGAACAGAAATTGTCAAGTTTTACAAAGATGAATCTACGGATGGATGGATGACTGGAAAAAAAAAATTATTAAAAAATTATTAAAAAAAAAAAAAAAAAACAGATGACTTGCTGGCAAAAGATAAACGATAATTAGGGTTGAATATGCAGATTGCCAAGGCTCGAATCAAGAGCCACTCAACAAGCATACATTCTATATATATCCAGAAGAATGACACAAATTATCCGAAGCAGTGACCAGAACTTATAGATAGTTTTTGATGTTTTACTCATACCCATATAACTCTACAAGCATCTTCACCTTCAACATCTCAGATACTTGACAAGCTCCAACTTTAATAAAGAACATGCCTCAAACCATTGAAATCTACCAAATACGTAAAAAAATAGTCATCAACAACCATTCAACTTTTACAAGCGAGTTGTTTGGGCCCATACCAGAGGCAGATATAAAAGACGATGTGTCCATGTTTTGCAGTACCATTCAAGTGTAATGAATGACCAAGCATCTACAAGCACTTAAATGCGTCCATCAAGTATAAAACCATATTTGAGACTAAAAGCATAGAATAAACCCACAGGCATTTGGATTAGCATGTTCTAGTTTGGTTCCGGCAATTTTAATTAACCAGTTCAGGTCATATTGGCATCAGCGTCAACGAGCTTGCCAATATAGTCTAATTAGTTTTGCTACTCTTGTTTGTTTTGGTCAATATTGATTTGGTTGAGAGTGAGCTTACCTTGCCATGAGACATCTTGGGTCACTGGTTCAGCCAACTCCAATAATCAGTCTTTCCAGGTATCAAAGCAAAACACCTCAACCAGGCACTGGAGGAAAACAATAGAATTGAAGTAGAAGTGTGTGCCTGGTGGAGAAGTAGGGATTGTCAGTTTGTCACTCTTTTATTCATGAAAAAAAATTAAGGAAAAAAATATCATGAAATAAGAATAATTCTAAAAAGAACTTACCAGAGTCATCAGCTCATCATAACTCATGAGATGGACCCCTATGGAAGACCTATACTTGGGATGACCTTTGGAAGCAATCGGTACTGCTGTGTTGTGTTTGCATCACCCTCAGCTAAAAGGCAGGTTAGCTCATTTTCCAAAGTAGCGTAAGCATCTGCAAATGCCTGAGCAATACCAAAATTGTCAAGACAGATTGCATATAGATTTCTATTCAGAGATATGTGCCACTAAATCCAGTTGACAAAAGTCCGGGTTAACCAAAAAAAATAAAAATAAAAATTAAAAAAAAAAAAGCAAACATTTTGTCTGAAACCAAAATGGCAATAGTTAATGTTAAAAAACTACTTATTGTAAAAAAGATACTAATAGTTCTCTACTGAAACACAAATTCTAAATGTCATCATCATTTAGAACGTCGCATTATAGAGCTTGATGATAGTTTTAACCTTTTATTAATCACCTGGCTTCAGCCCTTATATAAATTGAAGCTTGATCATGATAATTGTATATATTAAATTGAAGATTTGGTCAGATCAATATATTCAAAATAAAGCCAGCCACAAAGTTACGGTATGCAGCTCAGCAAGTCACATTTCAGAAAGGAAAAAAATAATTTAAAAATATATAAATGGACCAACAAATAGATGCAAGTATGTATAAATAAATCTACGTCAAACAAACCTTGATACACTGATGAATCCGGAAGCAATTTTTCCCCACATTATTTGTTGGAAACAAAGGATCATCGATGTAGATTGGATCAATGCTACGGTAGCATGCAGGCAATATATATCAAGATTAGACAGCAATCATGCAATCATAAAATCAAGATAGCAAATCAAACAAGAATGTATGCTGATGCCACAGTAGTCACTCAGTTACCTGCATCCTCTTTCTCTGTTTATATATAACCCACTCCCTTGTATTGAGACACGCATTTGTCGAGGATCAAACACATTCCTGCATCCAGTCAAGGAGTTAGAATGAACAATCCTAGATACCATCAAGATTTAATGTTTAGTCATTGAATTCAGCAGAAACAAAGATTTACACAAATATGACTAATCATCCTTCAACTCACCCAAAGAAGTAAAGAAAATCCATGAAAAGACTCCCAAGGTTCTGCAAAATATTTTACTCTATTGTTAATAAATCAAATATATAACCCAAGTTCAACAAATATTTGGGAACACAACATATTCCAAATACCAGGATTTGTGATAATTATTTGACAGCCTATATTACTCACAAAAGATGCACCCAAAGAAAACTGAATAAGTTATTCGGTCACATGCAAATGTCATAAATCCAAAAACCCATCTAAAATTACCCTCTCTTTTTTTTCCCTGTTCTCCCTTTTTTTGAGGATGATTTTACCAAATTATACTTCAGTTTAGCACTGAGGAATATAACTTGGTTATAGCCATCCCTACCGCTAGAACTGATCTCAGTCAACTAGTCAAAGATACTAATTTCCCTTGACTATTTCAACAAACATGGAATTAAAGAGTGTAAATATACATGATAACTTTTTTTTTTCCTTCTACCAAAGTAATATCTTACTACAGCAACCAATTTAAGCTTAGATATTTAACCTGGACAACCAAGCCCCCTAACATTGACCAACATAAATCATTTATTGTCATGCTTTGTAAGCAAAGTTTATCTTAGGAGATTTTTTTATACTTGTGAGCAAAAATTTTGCAGACAATTGAGGATATATTAATTGATTCCAACAATTATAATATCAATATGGCCCATTCACACAGATAGCATGAAAGATTTAACATGCCAGGCAAGTGATAGATGTCTATGCATATCTAACAGATGCTCCTTTAACACAAAATGCAGCACCTGCCTGCTTTTATTATCTAATAAAAAAAATCTCCCTCAAAGTCTATCATTTTAATTAAATATATTATAAATCGTAAAGCAAATCTAATCAGGGAAAAATAAAGTCTCCAAACTTTATCGACAACCAGTAATTTCACTAAGATTCATACTTGGTTAATAGGCCGCCCATGATGATGCTCATGCTGAAGAAAACGTGTAATCAGCAAAACCTGCAAAAGATTGCAAAATAGCTAAGCTAAGCACTGCACATAATTACAAAACTCTTACCAACAAATGTAAGTGCTACAGGAATTTGGTAGAAAAATAAACCAAAACAAATCACCATATTTCAATTATGATTGAAATCAGGAAACGCACAAGGAAGAGGGTAACAAAACTAAGAACAACAAAACTTGGCAAGCAATTATGTACTACAAGTAACAATGTAGCATAATAGAAAATCAGGTAAAATATTTACCAAACAGTATGAACTCAAGCCTCCCGAGTACGATTGATCAAGGCTACGGTCTGCTAAAAATTGCTTCAGTACCAAAGCCAGGGGAATGGCAGCAGGAAACTGGTCGGTAAGCTGTTTAACCTGCATAGCACATCTTGGAATGAAAACAATACTGATACAGGAACCCATTAATAGCTTCATCACAAACTAAACAAAAGGGATTTGTCAAGGGACCAACTAACCAAAAGCTTAAACTGATGTCCCAAGATTGGTTTATATTTTATCAGGATTTTCATTAGTTTTCCAACATAAGATTATAAGAAATTAGCAATAACAAATAAGTAAATAGTTGAAGCAATTACTTTCAGCACCAGATTAACCATTATATATGTCCAGCAGAGAATTAGCAATTATTGTCCCGAATTTAGCATCATTATGGCCAAATAAATGACTACAAACACAACCTAACTATTTTAACAATACACTTACAGTTTGCAACATTTTAACTGGGAACCAATAGTTTAAAATGATGATATAATAAGAAACAACTGAAAACCGAAGTAGAATGCATACCAATTCAGTTGTTTGCAGTCCTGTATGTGAGGGTGACTTAAAACTAATGTCTAGACGAACTGATATACAATCTTTGTTACAGTTGATAACTTTTGAGTGAGTCGATTGAGGAGCACTATCTGAGCCAATAGTATCAATTTTACCAACAGATCGTCCATCATTCAGCTTATTTTGTCCCCTTAAAGATATGTGCACAGTAGGCGCAGCAGTTGTAGTCACAAAATCATGTGGAACATCCACTACTAGCATGATAATGGGGATCTACAACAAAGGGAAAAGATTGATCATCAAAATCCGAAAGAGCAACCTCATTTGGTAGAGATATAATAAAAAAAAGAGTTGTTACCGCTGTATTCTCCACAGTCTTCAAAGAATCAGCTTTTACCCATTCCTGATTTCCCAGGTATCGAGCAGCATGCTGGAAGATTCATCATGTCAGATTAAAAATAGCTTTCTAAAAGGTCCACAATTAATGAACCACTTGAAAATAAGCAGACAAAAGAGTAATGATAGGTAGACAAAAGTCAAGAATCAAGAAGAAAATCAGGCAGATGAAAATCAATGAGCATAACTAGACTTTGAGAGCAGCTTAACTCATAGATGAATCTCATTTGAAGGTAAAATGCCACTTATCTAAAAAGTGAAAAATACTCTATGGAAGCCAACAGCAGCAGCAAAGTATTTCATCTATCAATTAACTCAATGCCCACTACATTAAACTTAACATAAACATAAATTTTGGCATACGCATCCAATAAATGATGTCCAGGAAGTAAGAATCAACTATTTAACTACAATACTGGAGCAACAAGCAGCATAGAGTAATGAAAGGAGGTACTAACTTACAGAAGTAAGCTAAATGAGTAGTTTAAAAATTAAATAAATTTGGTGAAGCAATTATTCTCAATTTTTTTCATCTGCAAGCAATATGGAGCAAGATATAACAAAACACTTGGAAAAAGCAAGAAGATCAGACACTGCAGTGGACAGACATATGGTTTAGAAAAATAATCAATCAAGGACTTAGTGCTGCTTGCTCATTACATCTCTACCACGAACCCAAGTATACCAAAACTTTGAGCAATGACCAGTGTAGCAAAAGAAGAACAGAGTCATAACATCAATGGCAGTAACACCGAATTAACAACTCTATCTTAAACTTACTTGTAGACATGTTTCCTTTATGCTATTACGGCCTTCTAAGATTCCAGCTTCCTTAATAGGCTCCTGGAAATGCATCAACACGTTATGCCAAAACACAGAAAAGAGCACAAACTTCAAACAAGAAAGTACAAATTAAAAAAGAACAAAAAATACTCACCAAGTTTCTCACTGGAGGAAGACAAACCACAAGATCCACATCACTTGTCGGAAGGGACAAGCCGGTGGCATTGGAACCAAATATATTGGTCCTGGAACGAGGCCAGAGAACTTGGAGCGAACGTGTCACCCGCTTCACCGCCCAATTAACATAAGGTCTCCTAATTAAATTCCCGGCAGCAACCTTGATCATTACAATAGGGGGGAAAAACATTTATATGCAGCATTGCTGTAGGGAAGAGAATGTAGACTTGGGAGGCACTACAATGTTCAAAGAAACGCACACAAGCTGCATCCAAACTAAAAAAAATAACAAGATTTCAAGCAACTACCTGCTTACAAAAGTAGTCAATTTCTTCATGAAGAAGATTGTGCATCAACGGGAGAGATGCCTTCCGTTTTGAGCAATTTACCAACTCAGGTGGTTGCACAGGAAGAGCAACATCAGGCTGCAGTTAAGTAAGGTGACAAGCTCAGATTTATTGTGAGCAATAAAGTAAAAGCAACAACAAAGAGGACTCACATACATGTTCCTGATCATGAGTTAACTGGGAGATTGCAATTAAGCGATCTTGCAGTATTGCTCCAGGCAAAGGCTGAACCATTTTCCGAGCAGCAAAGTTCTTATTTTTCCAAGATGGCCACATTACTTCAGCACCATCAACACGTAAACAAGCTTCTTCAACATTAGTCCCATCATGAAACCATCCTCTTACACCCAGGTGTCTTGGGCTGGAGCTACCAGACCTAACAATTGGAAAGCCTTTATGTTTTCTGGAGTCTCCTACAGAAGAAGGTGGAGGAGGACGGGGAGCACGTGGAACACAAAGCACTACAGGTGAAGGTGGGCGTTTAATTCTAGGATGTTCACACCTGTTTGGAGGAACGCGAGGACTTCTTAATTCACGATTACACTTGAACTCGGATCTTGATCTTTCCCTTGATATACTTGGAATTATAATAGGCCGGAGTATTGGGTAAGGAAGCGAATCTCCAGATTTGGCATCACAATCACCAGATATACTGGCCAAAGATCCTGGAAGTTTATCTTCCAACTCCAAGTCTGTCATTGTTGAGGAGCTATGAACCATTTTTCCTTCATTCCCGGACCTAACATAACCAATTGGTTGATGCCCTGGAGGCAAAGACTCGAAAGGAGAACAAAAAGGAGCAGCAGATGGGGAATTTAGTCCATTTGTACTATAAGATGATGAAAATGCAACCATGTCATCAACAGTCCTATTCATGTCAGCTTCGCGCCAAGCCCATGAACTGTCATCAGAACTAAGAGAAGGAGGGCGAGAGAAACTAGCTCCCCGATAATCAGAAGGATTCCAATACATGACGCCGCCACCAAAGAATTGATTGTAGTCCTTGCCAGAGACAGCATGGACTTCATATTCTTCTTCTGATACCCAATGGCTATCATATTCATCAGCTAACTCTTGTGCGCTTGGTGGTTCAGAGAAGTCAAAGTAGTCTGCAAAGTATTTTCTTTCTTCTTCACTACTTAAAGCACCTTTATGAGGACTTTGGGCAGCAAAGCTTTGTTGTTTTCCAGCTTGACGCCTTGAAATAAATGGAGAATCATAATTACAAGTCTGTACAACAGGGGACCAATCCAAACTAGCTGGTAATGGTTGTGGCATAATCCTACCCATCTGTCCTCCAATATTAGAACTTGTCTGATGCATCTGTTGTATGAAAGAATGTTGAAAATGATTTTGCCAGTTGTGACCAACTTCCAAATGCAATCGGTCTGTAGCAGGTGGAAGATGCTGTGAATTGAAGCCAGCCAAACGATTAGGGGCCACAGTAGGCCATTCATATGAGGGATAATATGCAGGAATTACAGCTTCACCATTATACCAACTCTGGTTATCTTGTTCACAGATCAGGTTTGTTTTACTTTTATCATCTACGATTTTTCCACACGATGACGTGGCATTTGTGCTGCAGAAAGCATGATCCTCATGACCATCGTCATCTTTTTGAGCAATTTGACTATTCTCATACTCTGTTGCAGCCACTATAACAGGGTCTCCGTCAGAATTAGCTTCATAAACACTTTTAAATTCTGTCGTCAGTTCAACAGGACTCATATCAGATTCCACTAAATGATTATCAGTTTCCATGTTGGGAACTACAGCATTCTTCAGCTTATTCGAAAGCAAGTGACAGTTAATCCTGGGACGATGTTGGTCTTCCACAGAAGATGTTATATCACCTCGTTCAGAGCTACGCAGATTGACCTCAGTACATCCAGCCTTACCGTAGCAAGGAGCTAAATTCTGCTGACCATTCAGACAACTAATAGAAGCTTCATTTGACAACTTTTTCACACCAGCAGCGTGATCCATAGAGATATGTTCTTTCTCACATTGTGTGGTGGTACAGGAAGAGAAAGCAGTCTGTGTTTCAGCTGAAGTGTTGAGGACTTTACTTGCAGAATCCGGCTTCCCACGCAACTTCTTTTTATTTTGTTTTCCCTTCTTTGCAGAAGAAGTTTGTGACCTCTCAGAAGCCGACGTCTGGTCCTTTACCTGTTTATGTCAGTGTTTCAGTAGTCTAAAAAGATTAATTAAAAAAAAAAAGAATTCAATTTTCAAGAAGGCAGTCGACCAAAACAAATACTACACTGTGCAACCTAACATTATTCCTTTCCCCAAAGAGAGAGGCATTATACATCCACTAACTCCCTTAAGATTCCCCACCCCCCCACGTTGCTCAACAGGTTGATGCAAGCATGCCCAAAACTAGATTCATTGCCTTGAAATATCTGAATTCATAAGTAACAAAATCATTTTTTCTCTATTATAAAACTGATCCGCAACAAAAGCAAAAGAAGGAGAGAGAAATACCTCAAGAGTCTTGTCAAGTACAAAGTCATTATTGCAATTCCTTATAGCTGGATTTATCTTTTTGGAATTACGATTCTTTCCCTTCTTACGTTGAGTTCCACCCTGCTTCTCCTTTGATTTATTTGCCACTATATTATGGTTCTCCTCATCCATTAGTTCAAATTTAATGTAATCAAGTGAAACAGCCATAAGTAATCCTCTCAATTTCCTCAATATGCCATCTGCAATCATATTTACAGAATCCAAAGAGCTGAAAAAGATCTTCTCCTTATTAAATTTATCATGAGGGCAAGTTAGTGCCATTTCAATTATAACCTGAAGCACAAACAACCGATTCACGACATGCCTTAATGTGGTAGGTGGCCTGGAAGAAGGTGAAACTAGATCAGATGTCAAGCCTAATTCTGCTCGTCTTTGTAAATGCTCTGTAGTGGGTGCATTCTGATCTCTGTATCTCACAGATTGCTCCTCCGCTAAACCGAAATTCCACAATTCGTCCTCCATGCTCCCATCAGCGCCTTTTAAGATTTCACCCGTCTGAAAACTTAGAGTAGTCAGAAGTCAGACTATAGTTCAGCAATGGCCAAAGTCCAAGGCAGCAACTTCATATTTTTCATACAAAAAATCCCCTATACCAAGTACCTATATACTTTACAAGAAAAGCTTGAGTCCTTCCCCACCATAAGCTCAAAAGAAAGCCGTATAGCAGAAAAAGTCATCGTCACTTAACCTCCAGACTTGCCAAGCTTTTTTTAGTAAAGCATGGCTATGGTATCTTGGAAATTGGGATAGAAGCTTCTTTCTTTAATATTGGACCATCAAGGTATTTGTAACATAAAAATTTGAGAACCAAGCAAGTAGTTTTACAAATAAGTGAGTTTGCATAGACTTCCATTGTCAATGCCTATGTTCTAAAAACCACCTCCATGCTCCAGGAGGTAAGCATTCTCCAGATAGCCTCAATTAGTCAGTCATACCTTGTAACCCACATATAGATTTGTAACATTGCATCAGCTGCGTCATCTGCGTCTAAAAAGGAGAAAAAAAACTAGGACCGGGAGAATGAAAAAGAAGATAAACTAACTCTTCTGAGAAAAATTAGATTGTTTCTTCAAGAGAGCACTATATCCTTCTAACAACAGCATCTTTCAAATCCTTTAGAAAAATTAATCGTGAAATGTCTATAAAGCAAGTCAAAGTTAATAAATAAATATAAAAAAAAGGGGGGGCATACTTCTCAGTTCTCACTTATCCTAACAAAAATCTTCTATGAGTGACAAAGAGAGTCACAAATACATTACCAAAACACAAAACATGTAGGTTAACATTGGGGTTTTGGACCCTAATATTTAATTTGGCTGAATATGTTGAATACTTTAGAATGAAGGAATGGACAATGGTTGACATTATTTATCCTTAGACTTGACATGCTTGTGGATGGTTAACAATGTAGCAAAGAACTGAAACTAAAGAAAAACAGTTCAAAGATTTTATTTATTTACAGAAACACCTTACTGTCTATCTATGTTAAAATACACAAACTTATGCTTTAGTAGCACGGCCTTTTTTTGTATGGTCTTAACTCTTAAGCCATTTCCACCTATTTCATATTTTCATACGCTTGTAAAAGAAGGGCAAACATACTCTTTTTTGAGCTATGCAAGAAAAGAAGAGTTCCCCAGCATTCAGCATTTGGGTTTCTTGACTCTCCAAACATCTACAGTCATACAACCTAAAGCTACTTGATTCCAACATAGTTTCAAATCATTTCCATCTAGTACTTCGTTTAACACTACAATGCACTCGACTCTTTCCAACAAATACCATGAATATTAACCTTGCTTCCTCAAATCCAAAATGCAAGTGTATTTAACCAATTGATTTAGATCCCATCATACAAGTCATTCAACCATATCAATGCAACATTATTGTTTTTCTTATAATACAGTAACAAATTGAAATAACAATATAGGTCATTCCACAATTCAAATACAACATAGAATGCCACTCCACAAACCAATGCAATTCAAACATATTCAAACCAATTCTTATAATTTGAATCAAAGGGAGTAAATTAAGTTAAATGACAGTATCAAAAAACTTATAAATTGGAGGACATACTATAGATTTCGCGGTCTTCCCCAAAACCATCCGAAACACCTTCCTTTTCATCCCATCATCCAACTTCTCCCACCAATCAACACACCCTTTCTTCCTCCAATACGCATTTACCCCCAATCCAACAGCACTGTTAGCCTTCTCTTTCAACTTCACCCCTCTCTTCTTCCCACCATTACCATTCACCCACGCCAACCTCAACGCCACCTCAACCCGATTCGCCACAAACGCCTCGAGACCATAATACCCTTTACCCTTCAACCACCCCAACTCAGGCCACTCATTCCCCAACTCAACCCAGTCCGAATTCGACCCATTTAAAAAACCCGAGTCCGAAACCCGGTCCATAACCCGAACAAACTGATCAAAATCCTCAAGAAACCCCTCACGAAACGTCACCGTATCAAGGGTTTGAGCACCCGAAGAAACCCCAGAACACTCAGAAGAGGAAAAGAGAAGAATCGACGATCGAAGCAAACGACTCGACTCATTGGAATCAGCAACTCGAGCGAGTAACCCACGAGATCGGCGAGTACAAATGGTGGGTAGAGAATCCTCTGAAGGAAGGTCAGGGAGGAGGAAGAAGGTAACGTGAGAAGAGAGAAAGAGGTGGGAACGCATGCGAAGGAGAAGCTGAGTGAAAGTGGGGTCGACAATGGTGAGGTGGGCCAGTCTTTGGGGAGGAGAGAGAGAAGAAAACCATTTCAAAATGGCGGATTTATCTGGGTTCGGGTTTGGGTTTAGGGTCGGGTTTTTGTACAGAGAGATGTAAGAAGGTAAGATGTCGATGATTTGCTTGGAATCCATTGATGCGGGTGGTTTAGACGGCGGAGAAGAGCGTTGATTGTGTGATATCTCCATTGAACTGTAAAACCAGCTAACACAGGTAGGAGGAGAGAGAAAGGAGAAGACTGTTGTTTTTTATCGCCGAAATGTATGGAGCGTTGTTTTATTTTGTTTATTTAATTAATTTATTTAACTACTCGTAATTCATTCATTTCTTTGGTTTATGCACGGATTACAAGTTTTACAACTACAAGTACTTATTTTGGCATTTCTAACTTTTTAAACTTGTTCATGTATTTAAGCGTTGTTTGACAATTGGCTGTTGGTCATTGATTGTTGGTTGTCGGCTATTTTAGTTGGCTAATTTGACTGACTGTTTAGATTGGTTTTTGAATTGGTTGTTTGAGTAAAGTTGTAGTGTTTGGTAAATTGGCTTATTGGGTGCTAGCTGTTGTTAAACTACACATACTAATTAGTAATTATTAACATTAATTGTTATTATAGATAATAATTTTTTATAACTAATTATAATTTAAATTAATTAATTATTGGTTATTAATTAATAATAATTGTATTAGTTATAAATTTATAATTATCAATAATAATGTACTATAAATTACTAATACTTTAAATACTAATTATTAAACACTAATAATTTATGTTTCAAAGAAATTATTAATTATCAAATATTTAATTATCAAATATTCAATTATTAATTATTGATTATTAATTATTAGTTATTAGTTATTAGTTATTAATTATTAATTACTAATTATTAATTATTAGTTATCAATTATTAATTAATTATTAATAATTAATTACTAATTATTAAAATTTAATTACTAATTATCTTTTATTGTGACTAATTATTATTAATCAAAAGTTAATTATGTCAACAAGCCAAAAGCTGCTCCAACTAGCTTTTTGCTTTTGGCTTAAAACCAGCTTTTCAGCAAGTTAAAAAAAGTCAATAATCAAACATGTTTTTTGGTTGTTTGACCAACTTGAAGAAGCCAAAAGCCAGCTAAAAAGATGGTTTCCAAACACCTCATTAATATCTATGGCGTCAATTACTCCCTCCGTTTTTAAATACTTGCTCCATTTCTTCATGTGCAGAGTTTTAGAAGAAATTGGAAAAAGTAATAAAATATGGATGTAGTGGGATCGGTGAAAGAATAAAAAATGTAAAAAAACAAAAGTAGGGAAGAGAATATATATTGGGTCCACTAGGTGAGAAAAATTAATTAAACATTGTAAAAGTTTTCCCAATAAGGAAATGGAGCAAGTATTTAAAAAAAGCATCAAATGGAAAGTGGAGCGAGTATTTAAAAATGGAGGGAGTAAATTTTGTGATTTTATATACTACTTCTGTTTCATTTGATTGCAACGATTTGATATAAAGTGGAGTGGAAAAATGTCTAATCGTTGCAAATAATATGAAACGGAGGTAGTACAAACCTCATTTGAAATGTGCTTGCCAAGATTTGACCCTTAGTTTTAGGTTTGGAAGTCAAAGAATTAGCCAACTATTCTAACCTCTAATCTCTCTTTTCTTTTGTAATTAGACCTTGTGATTTGCAATTATATACATTTATATTTATGTTTATTACATAATTGATAATTAGTTCAAATGGTTAATTAATCATCCGTATTTGCATCATTGTTGGAAAATATTTGTAAAAGCAATTGTGGACCATCTACGGGGGCTATTAGGGGTCTAGCCTCTAGCCCATAGTAGAGACCAAAAAATTCTTACTCCTGTTGCAAAAGTTCAATAAAGATTGTCATTTATGTGAACATGTATAGGCAATTAGTTCTAGGGCACATAGTATCAAAAGATGGTGTTTATGTTGATCCATCTAAGGTAGAAGCAATTAAATTATGGTCGGTTCCTAAGAATGCTTCAGAGGTACGTTCTTTTCATGGTTTAGCTTCTTTCTATAGAAGATTTGAAAAAAAAAAAAACCTTTTCTATTATTGTTGCACCTATGACTGAATATTTGAAGAAAGAGTTAAATTTGAGTGGAGTCAAAAGGCGCAACATGCATTTGATTTAATCAAGAAGAAATTGTGTAAATCTCCTAATTTAGCTCTACCTGACTTTTCTAGTCCATTTGAGGTGGAAACTGATGCAAGTGGAGTAGGAATTGGTGCGGTTCTAATTCAAAGGAAGAGACCTATTGCTTACTTTAGTGAAAAATTGAATGGTGCTCGATCGAATTACTATACTTGTGACAAGAAATTCTATGCAATTTTCCTCAAAAAAAAAAATAAATAAATAAAAGAAATTCTATGCAATTGTTCGTGCTTTAGATCATTGGAGCCATTTTCCGTCGACTCGCCGTTTCAGAGAGAGGTAGAGAGCGGCGTGAGAAAGAGTCAAAGAGGGATATATATATATATATATATATATATTGTAAATCTGTATAATAGTGAGTTGGATTATCAATATATGCATCTCCTTTAAATTCTTGTACAGTAGGATTTGTAAGAAGCACTGCTTCAAGAGGTTCAAGGACTTGGCACCTTCCTAGTAATCTGTCATCTGGAAGTAGTATTTTTTTTTTTTGAAAAAAGGAAGTAGTATTTTTCTTTACCTGTTATCTGCTACTGGCATTTTTGAATTCAAGATTTCCACCATTGTTGTTCCAAACACAAATTGAAATAATTATATCAGTGAGGCTTCTGAATCTTGTGGCTTCCCTAGGCTTAAGATTTGCACTATTATAGAAAGTAGAAACAGATTTTCCTACCTCCTAGTGAAAATTATTTGCCATGAGTTTCACTAGGGAATAAAAGACTATTGTTGCGGAGTGTTGGGAGATTTGCACTATTAGGCACAGAATAACTGTTTTATCAATTCATCATAGAGCTAACATTAGGATCCACATTGTGACATGGGTGACATCTTCTTTTTAAACTAACACTGAAAAGCTGAAGTTGGAGATAGTACAGAAGCAATCTAACAAATGAACTTCAAGATGGCCTACTTTTTGGCATTTAATTATAAGTTCTCAGGAACCTTAATTGACTAATACTCATATTCTGTCATTTAAAGTCCCGTGGTGGCCTTGAGTTGAATAAGGAGACATAAGTTGCAAACGGCTAAGGGTCTGTTCTCTTCCGTTGAAATTCAGTTCAGTTCAGTTAAGCTCTTAATTTTATGTCTAATGATATTGCTAATGATATAAAGCCAAATTTCATTCTTTTAAGCTCTTATTACAACAACAACAACAACAACAACAACAACAATAATAATATTAACAATAATAATATTAACAATAATAATAATAATAATAATAATAAATAAGTAATAAATAATAATAATAATAATAATCAATAAATAATAATAATAACAATACAACAACAACAACAATAATAATAATAATAATAATAATAATTTGGGGTTAGATACTAGTTAGATACATGTATTAATTAAAACATTAAAGAGAGTGGGTTACGGTGTTGGACTGTTGGGCCGTTGCCTCTGTTAGCTTTTCGTGTTTTTTTTTTCTTTTTTTTTTAAATATTTTTTTAAAAAAATTTGTTTAAATGGGTTAGATACATGTAAGTGTTTTGTGTTCTTTTGTCATAATACTATTTTATTTTAAAATTAAATAGTATATGTGTTTAAAATGTTTAGAGGTTTCAAGTTTATAATATATTTTCCATAAATTTTATAATTATATAACATATTTTTCGTAAATATTTTAATATGTACATTTGTATATACACATATGTATAGTAATAAATAATCAAAGATCACTAATCCGTAGTTAAAAATCACTAATTAATAAGTTCAGTTCAGCTCAGTTCAGTTCAGTTCATTTCAGTCAATCAGGACAGGCCCTAAATTGACAGTTTAAAGGCAAACCAGATGGTTCCAACCACTTTAATGGACTCCTCGGTGTTGTAAAGTCTATGGGAGCAACCCCAACATGTTTCCTCTCCGAATTTGAAATAGTGTAAAATTGTCCAAAATTGAAGGATATTATCTACGCTTTCAAGGTAATTTTGGGCAATATTTTCAAAATTAAACTGAGTGTATGGGTGTCCCCTAGGGTCATATAAGTTGGTTTGAAACCATCAAGTCTTATAAATAGGTTTATAAAGTACTAAGAATAGATTTGTTTCATTTATGTGGTTACTTTGGAATTGTGCTGCATTGATAGTGAAGGGATGGAAAATAATGTATCTATTTATAATATAATGCAACTATATACTAGTATAATACAAGTTTTGTACCTTTTGATGTTTGTTTTCATACATGAGTAAAATTCAATTGTTAATTGAATACTCATCTTGACATACAAAGTAGATGTTGATATTTTATCTAAATGTAAATTAAATGTTATAACCATTTAATTAAATGAAAATTAAATTAATAAATTTATGATAATACCTAAAAGGAACTAGAAAGATAATTTACCACCACTCATTGTGGTATCAACATCATTGCCTATATGATTAATTAGATCATGAGCAAATTAATAAAATTCTTGCAAAAATAGTCAAGAAAACCAAAAAAAAAAATGGAAGAAAAAAAGTATGCTTTGACACTTATAGAGACCTTGAAAACAATAATAAAAATTAGTAAATAAAATAGGCATATAGAAGAAAAAAAATCAAATTTAAATTTAATTTTTAACAATTTTCCGTAAAGCATGACCTTGACCAAATACTAAAAATGCAAAATAAAAGCATAATTTAACTTTAAAGTTCTAAGCTAAGGAGATTCGAAGTAGATTCCTTGGAACAAATGTATCCATCAATGAAGGCACCGAATCTAACACTATCGATATGATGTCATCGGATAATCTTGTCTTCACCAATAGCATATACTCACGACATTATGTAGTACAACTATATATTAATCCAATTTTTATATATGAGCATTACTTTATTTATTTTAATTAATTAGGATTTGTTTAGATTATTAATCATATGGATACATGTACGATCCATGCTTCAATTGTTACAATCAACTAGATTTAATTTATATGATCAATGCAATTGCTAGTCTTCAAGTTTCTACAAAATAAATAAATGTATCTTCATTTTTTTATTCTAAATTTCCAAAATGTATCATTACATCCTAAAAAGTTGCATTAGTTAAAAGAGTAGGACTTAAGACAAATTTTCAATTAGAATTTTTAATTTTTTTTTTTAAAAATGTAAGAATCAAGCCCTCACGGGAGGGTAATTATTAATCCTTCATATTAAATAAGACAATTATCATGACATATTGACATTTAATATTAAAATTTAGGGGATGTATAGGTTGAGTTTATCAATTGTTATCCTGTTGAAAAACTTGACTTTCGCCGTATTTGGTGAAAAAGTAGAAAACTGAATCTGATTGTATTTACTGTTAGAGGTGATCTTTGGGCGGGCCGGGGTTGAAAAAATCAGTCCATATCTCGGGTCAAGTCGAAATTTTTAAGCCCAAACCCGCCCAAAATGGTCGGATCTAGCGCGTTTTTCGAGCCATTTCGAGTTGGGCTAAAAAAAACTAACTAAAAATGCATAAAATGCATAAAATCGCATTCCCAAACCCGCCCAAAAAAAATCAGGCCGGGCCCAACCCGATTTTGGGCTGGAAAAATCTGCCCAAAACCCACCTAATATCGAGTCGGGCCAATGGGTCGGGCTATTTTTTATCAAGTCTTTTTGCTGATTTTAATTAACTGATTGTATTAACTGATTTGACTAGCTTATTTTATTACATGATTTTATAAAAATGTTTGGTATATAAATGATTTTTTGAAGTTGTTTAAGTATGTGAAATGACCAATAAGCTGATTGAAGGGGTATGTTAGTTTAGATAGGATTTTAAATTAAATAAAGGTATAAGTGTCAATTTATCATAAGATATTGGATAAGCTGATTGGAAAAGCTCATATAAGAGGAGATCGATAGTGGAGTTACTTTTATAATGAAAAATAATATAAATATGATAGAAGGTAGTGAGATAGTATTTTATAGTTATTGATTTTGAGAAACAGTGTAATACGGTGTAGAACTTTTTTTATTAATACGGAAAAAAATTCAACTTTAATTAATTAGTGCTCTTCTTGAAATGAAAGTATAAAATCTAATTAAGGATTAATGATGTAAAAACTAGTCTTGGACAAATGGATTAATATTCACTTAGAAAGACATGGTAAGATTTTAATTCAAGATTATCTATACAATTCAATCTCATCAATTATCCACACAAGTTTCATACAATGCTTATGTATTACCAGATCATTATACTAACTTTCATGGGTTGACTAGTTTAGGTTGTATGATCCGACCCCTAATGTTCTACTGTCTTATCTTGCTTTCTTTACTTAGCTTAGGTTGTTATCATGCTTTTCATTTATAGAACTCTTTGTCAAAAAAAAAAAAAAACTTTCATGGGTTGACTTTTATTCAAATGTCAATTGTAAGGGAGACTTTCCATTAGGACATCTTATTCTAAAGTTTATGCCTCAAATTATTTTGAAGATTGCCTTAGATTTTTTTTTTCTAAAAATAAATAAATAATAATAATAGTAACAATATGAAATTTCCTAAATTATATATATATATATATAAAAGACACTCGTAGTTGTTATTGATCACAATAAATAATTTTTTTTATCTTATAACAAGTTAGCAAGTATCTTTTTTCAAGTGCAGAGAGAGCCACAGAGGGTAGCGTTGTAGACATAATTTGATCTCAAATCTTGTGTATCACCATTCACCACCCAATTCTTTAAGTTTTTAACCAATTAAATTAGTTGACATATACAACAAGTCACCAATCCACAAATATAAATACCCGATGCCTCCTTCTTGTATAGTTGTATCTACTACGAGTATATAACATCTACATCAACAAAAATGAAAATTGTGACTACCTAACATGAGTTGATTTAGTCCCTAAAGTTACATACCCATGAGAGTGGTCTCAAACTAAAGATGGAAATTTTGAAATATCCCAATTTGATGCTCTTCTTAAATACCCAAAATCACTAGAAATCCTCTCCCCTTACATTGTCACATGGCATGCCAATTTGACAAGCAAAGTCATTACCATGCCTTATTCAATGTTGACCCAACTAGTAATTAACGGAATATACCGCCAAATTCCTATTTTCTACCTAACGCCTTTATTTACTGTCCTTTTTTTCTTTTTCTTTATTTCTCCTCTTATTCATTTGTACTTAACATTATTGTTTACCAAAAAATTAATTGTCACTCATAAAAATAAGCATATGCTTTTTAATATTCTTTGTGTTACTAATTCCACCCCTTTTTCCACATTATAAAGCTCACTATTTTGGTTGCTATCTTTCCCATTTATATACTAGTGATTTTGATCATATTTACACCTTCAAAGTAAATTATTTTCCTAGGAATTATTTTATTAATTGGGTTGAAATATATAGGAAATAAAAAAAAAATGAAGTTTGGGAAGAGGTTGAAGCAACAAATTCAAGAGACATTGCCAGAATGGAGGGACAAGTTTTTGTCATACAAGGAGTTGAAGAAGCTTGTACGTTTGATCTCCACGACGACGATACCGCCCGGTGGTGATATGTTGCCGGAGTATGGCAAGCCTGAGTCTGAATTTGTCCTGCTATTGAATAATCAGATTGATAAATTCAACACTTTTTTCATGGAGAAGGAAGAAGATTTTATTATTAGGCACAAGGTATGTACTTGTACAATGCAACTATTTATAAATCTCAATGCTTCTTTATAATTTAATTAAGATTTTGTCTTGAGGATTTGGAGAAAAGGGATTAATTTTTTAAAGATATAAATTTCGTCATAATTATTATACGTCATGTATTTAGGTTGTTAGAAATATGATAAGATTCATATATACTATACTAAACACTATACAGTGATGTGTACATACCTTTATGAAAGAGAATAAGACACGTAAAAAATATGTTAGGTAGATATTATTTACTATATAATTTAATATTAATAAGTGGATTCGAAATAGTGTTAATTGCTACTTTCATCTTCCCAATTATTCGGGGCCTCGGGGGTTTGATTCTTATTGTGGTTAATTATTGGGATATGACTATAGGTTAAAGGCATTAAAATGTAACCAAAAACCTAAAAATGGTTATATATGTAGATTAGGCCAGAAATATTCATCAATTTAATTTTTTTCCCTTCTATTTTCACAATCTACTACAGTAATAATAACGAGCTTTATCTTTTTCTTTTTTTCTTTTTTCTTTCCCTGATTTTAATAACAAATTTTAGTGGTTTCATAAATTATTATTTGATTAGCTTCAATGTTTCACTAACCAATTGCTGTATTTATGTCCTGAATTTAAGATTTGTGTTATGTTTCACCATTGTACACACATCTAGGTGCATCAAAATGAAGAAGTTAATGGTCTGAAAATTTAGCCAAATAATTAAGTTAATATTAGTAGGTGGTCACAAATTAAAAAGGGTGAGAATACTCCCAAAAAAAGGATATGCCTAAGCCCTGTTCTCAGAGAGAAATAATTGCCAAAAGAATATGCTGCCACTCGATCTGCATGCTTACGTAGATACTTATAGCATATACCCAGCTATTAAACTTAAAAAGGGTGTTACACCAAAACAAGTTATGTTTGCTATATCTCAACCTGACCACCCAATCTATCCATCCATATACTCCATAGCTTTTTATCGTCTAGTTACTACGGAGTACATGTTATCATTACGTTAATAAATTTGTTTGAAATACGTTAAAAAGGTGAATATATACAAATAGAGCATGCGCACACTGTGAAAATTTTACATTACTAAAACAATTGTCATTAGCTCTATTAATCGGTAATCCTATATTTGTTCATTAAATGTTAAGGGTCTTATACTATATAATTCGGAAAAAAAAAAGGTACAAGATAACAAAATAACAACCTCCTATTAGTTACAATTAAAGGTGTTTGTATAAAAATTAGTTTTCAAAATGTAGCTATATATTGATCACAAATTGTTATAAGTGGGCGTAGGGAAACCATACCATATACAAGTACAAAATTAACCTTGACTTGCTAAAATAATGAAGATTAAAAGAGAATATGATTTTCTAAAAAAACTGTATGTACTTTATGAACCTTGACTGGTCAAATAATATTTTGCTAATAGTACATTGGTACTTTCTAATGACCTCTTAGAATATATTTAGCACTAGTATTATGACTTTTCGTGAGGTTAACGGCTTTTCTAATCCAAACATACATGCACATTGCTCTCCACAGACTCCAATAGGTGAATATAGATAACAATAATCAAGCCATTTTATTTTATTTTATTTTCTTACGTCTCACCAAAAGGCGAAAACCACCTTTATTGCACTATACCACTATAAGTGACCTTTTATTTGTTACGTAACACTACCTCTTTTTGTGCACTATATACAAGACATGTAGCCACGTAGTAATTGAAATTGATTGCTTAGAGTTTAATTTGATGTTATGTTCGATAATATAAAGTACTCAAATTTAAAAATGCTTTGGCTATGCAGGAATTACAACAGAGGATTCACAGAGTTCAAAATACATGGGGGCCAAAAGGAAGTCATCCTTCTGAATTATGTTACAAAGAAGAATTAGGAATGATTAGAAAACACATAGTCAATTTTCATGGTGAAATGGTGCTTCTTATCAACTACAGCAACATCAACTACACTGGTATATTCTCTTGACACCATCAAATTTTATTTTCCTATTTATTTTCATACCACATATTTTAAAACAAAGGATTATAAAACTTATGTTAATTATTTAAATGAAGAATCATATTCTAAAATTACTATATACATGAAAAAAGTCCTTCCTCACTTTTTTTTTTTTGGCCTTTTCTTGGTTTCAAAGGGCTAGCTAAGATCCTAAAGAAGTATGACAAAAGAACAGGAAGTTTGTTGAGGTTGCCATTCATACAAAAGGTGCTTGAACAACCATTCTTCACGACGGATCTCATATCGAAGCTAATCAAGGAGCTAGAGGCAACAATAGAGGCAACGTTTCCTCGTGGAGTCGATCACGAAGAACACGTAGAAGATAGTAAAAGAAAGAGAGAAAATAATTATGAGTTACTAGTTGTGGGTGAAGGCATATTTAGGAATACAGTGGCTGCTTTACTAACTATGCAAGATATAAGAAGAGGAAGCTCTACTATTAGTCATTTCTCTTTGCCTCCTCTTAATTTGCCTAAGTTTGAGGTTGGACAATCCATGCTATAACCTTAGCTTCTTCAAAACCAATCGTCTAATTAATTATATTTGTATTAATCTCGTATAACCATTTTTATATATCAAAATGGTTATATAACTTTAGGGTAGTATAAATTAAATTGTCATGATTTATATGTTAGAGATTATTGGCTTATTGCCATGAGTATTGATGACAATTTACCTTTCTACTGTCTACTGATATTATTATTTGATATAGTTTTGCTATTATTTATACCTCTCATCAAGTTTCTAAACACCTTATAAACTTTTCTATTAAAATAACCTTTTAGATTGGTTACTAATGATACATTGGTAGTGTGGGTTATGAAATGACATATTGGTTTAGGTTATATTTTAATTTTAGGAGATGAAAAGGACTAATTTATTGTTTATGTAATGTGTACTAATTAATTTAGCTTTAATTTATTATATATTGGAAATGAATCACTTTATTTTCTTACTTATTGCAAGTTTCGGAATGCATAAAGACTTGGAATATAAAGACTTCGAATCACTTTATAAGGGTCTGTTCTCATTGACTGAACTGAATTGAACTTATTAAAGCTGAAATGAGCTGAACTGAACTTATAAGGGCTGAACTGAAATGAATATTTTATAAGAGAAGGAAATTGGGAGCTGAACTGAACTGGGCTGAGTTGAGCTGAACTGAACTTAAATGAAATGAAAATAATCATATGAGAACAGACCCTAATCATATAACTAATATATAAAGCTAAACTTTTAGTCAGGTCACGAGACAACGACACTTGGCGTTCCTACTTTTCGCTAAGTGTCGTGCCACGTTGGATAGATTTAAATAGACTTTATAAGATATAATTTTAGGATAAAATTGTTGGTTTAGAGTTTTATTTTCGATAAAATACCAATATTTCAGACGTGCAAATCATATAACTAATATATAATGATAAACTTTTAGTCAGACGACGAGATAACGACACTTGGCGTTCCAACTTTTCGCCAAGTGTCGCGCCACGTAGGGTAGAGTTATATAGAATTCAATTTGTAGGATAAAAAAGTTAATTTAGAATTGTATTTTCAATCAAATTTGGATAGAATTTTAGGATAAAATTATTAATTTAGAGTTTTATTTTCGATAAAGTAGCAATATTTCATAGGTACAAATTAAATTATAATTTATTAAAAAAAAATTATAACACTCATAAATTATCATATAAATTTATTTTTTGTATCATAGTATTTTTTTGGAGAGAAGGGAATTAGCTCAAAATGCACCACATACATTATTTATAATATATTCTAATCAATTAAAACAATATACTTTACAATCTAATATAATTTTATTACTGTGTGTAGACATGTCAATTGGGTCGGGGCACGAGTCATTTCGGACATGGTCATTATTTCAGGTTATAGGTCAAGAAATGTTTTTCACCAATGTTATTATTATTAGTCATTACATGCCTACTATATGGTTTAAATCATTACAAAAACACATCAATTCCTAACTAATTTTGTATCAATGATATGTTTTAAAATTTGACATATAGATTAAAAATTTATCTTAAAATTCAATAAATAATCCGGGTATCGCACGGGCACAAAACTAGTTATAGATATAGATATACATTCCATATCTACCAGGTAACGCCCTAATCATTTTCCACAAAATAAGATCCGATTTCTACCCTAATGTCATGCAAGACCCGTATATAAGGCCCAAATGTTATTGTCAAAAATCAAAATGTTTCCAAGAAAACCGAAAAGGCGTTTGTAGCAAATGAACCCCATAACCTAAGACTTAAGTGCAAATCAAACCCTTTAGAATTAATCGAAGCAAATCAGCCCTGCACCTTTAGAGAACGTGTAATTAGCCCATACATTGTATATTCTGGCCATATATAATCAGAAAATTTTAATTTCGCCGGAATACCACTATAATTTTACCATTATACTATCCTTAAACCATTGAGATACAACCCTTGTATATTTGAAGTACGTTATTTATAACTTACATACAATAACCCTATAATGAAATTAAAAAATACATCCAAAAAAAAAAGTGAACTACATGAACAACAGCTCCACGTTCAAGCACAACGCTCTCCAAAACATCTCAACTCTCTTCCATGGCTTCCTCTGCAGGTAACTTTGATTTCTCTCTCATGATATAAACCATGATTAAAACCTAATTTTAAATTGTACCTGTAGAAACAATGAAATTCAGATTATTCAAAATTGCATTTGAAAATAATTTAATAATAGATAATTCCTATAAGCAACAACAACAAAGTTGAATGCAATTGTCACAATTGTATGTTTTTATGGAGAACTGAATGTTATTATGAAGTCCCTTAATTATTATTTTTTCTGGTGCAGTACATCCAAATATAATTAATCTCAAATGCTTTCATGGGGGGAAATTAGTTGACGGGAGAGAAGATGTGATTTATGTGGGTGGTTCTTGTATTGAAGGAGAAATTGACATATGTAAATTTGATTTTAGAATGGCCAAAAAACTGATTGAGGTGTTAGGTTACTCTTATGATTATGTTGACATCTTGTATCTTGTGAAAAAAAGAGGCCTTCAAATTTTATGTGATGGCGAAACATTGGAGGAACTTCGTGTTGAAGGGGTTACACATGGGGCCATGGAGTTCTATTTCCATCATTCTATTGAAGAAGGTGATAATGAAGAAATTTTATATTCATCGAAAATAAAAGTTGATTATTCAGGGGAACTTAATAGAAAAACTACAGAAGTTCCTGTGGAAATTATAGACTATGATCAGAATGATGAGGAGTTATATGGGAGTGAACCTGAAAATATAATCGAAGATGTTGAAGCTGGAAGTAGCGATGACGAGTTTATTGATGTCCAAATAAAGAAAAAAGAATGGGTCACTAAAAGAAACAATTCTGGAAAAAAAAAGAACATGGAGGAAAAGAAATTTGAGAAGGTTAGTATAGATCACAATGGGGATATAGAAAAAAGTGGACAAGCAAACAAGCCTGCAAAAGCAAAGGATAATTATTGGGGTGTAGATGAATATGTAGAACAAGATGAGCATGGCATGGATGGAAGTGAAATAGATTCTGAGGATGAAAGTCCACTTAGTCGTAGCGATGATGAGGAGGATCCTGAAGTTCTACAGATATGTGCTTGGCCTCTATATGATCCTAATACTCCATTTGGATCTGTTCAAATAGAGCTAGGGCAATTATCCAAAATGTAGACGTATTAAAAAAAGCACTCATCCTATATAGTTGCCAAACCCATAGGGCATGGAACTATTGCCATAATGAACCGCAAAGACTACTTCTGAAATGCAAGTTTTATGAGAGTGGGTGTCGTTGGAAGCTAAGTGCGAGGTATACAAAAGAGTTTGGTTGTTTACAAATCCGATTTTTAAAAGATGTTCATAATTGCACACCCACTATGAAGAATAAAAGGGTACATGCAAACTTTCTTGTCGAGGAATACCAAGAAAAGCTTCTAAAACATCCTACTTGGAAGCTAAAATTGTTTGTTCGGGATGTAGAAGACACATATGGTGTGAAAATTAACAGGTGGCAAGCTGCAAGAGCAAAGAAATATGCCTTGTCTGCATGTGCAAAGGTTGTTGAAAAACAATATGAATTTCTCAGAAGTTATATGCATGAATTGAAGACATCTAATGTAGGTACTAGCGTGTTCTTATCTTTAAAACCACACATTTCACGTTCAGAACCTCAATTTCATATGTTCTACATCAATTTTGCTGCTTTGAGACAAGGATTCCTACATGGGTGTAGAAAGGTTCTCGGCCTTGATGGAGTATTTCTTAAAGGATATTGAAAGGGTGAGCTTCTTAGTGCCACAACAAGGGATGCAAATAATCAAATGTTTCCGGTCGCTTGGGCAATTGTAGAGACTGAATCCAAAGAAAGTTGGTCTTGGTTTCTTAAACATCTTATAGAAGATCTTGAAATGCAAGATGGCAAGGGATGGACTTTGTTATCAGATCAACAAAAGGAATGTTTACATTTAAGTTTAACTCTTCATTAGTTAATCTAAATTTTATGTTTAAAGGTATGTTTATTTTTTGGAGCTTCCATAGTTCATGGTTAAGTTCATTTTTGTACATCTAGTATAATGTCTATCATAGGGATTATTGTCTGTCATACCACAACTTCTCCCTAAAGTTGAGCACAGGTTATGTGCTAGGCACATATTCACAAATTGGACCAAGATTATCAAAGGGGCACCTTTACACAAACTATATTGGAGGGTTGTGAAATCATATACTCAAATTGACTTTGAAAATGCTATGAAGGAACTGCAAAAGCAAAGTTCAAAAGCTTATGAGGAGATGTGTGCAAGAAATGTGAAGAATTTTTGCAGATGCTTTTTTAAGACTTGGGCATGTACTGATGTAACTTGTAACAATATGGCGGAAACATTTAACTCATGGATCCTTGAAGCTAGGGAAAAACCAATATTAACAATGCTAGAAGAAATAAGAAGACAAGTTATGTCTAGAATGGTGGATAAGAAAGAGCAAGCAGCTAAATGTGTTAGCATTGTTACCCCTAGAGTTCGATTGAAGTTAAATGATTTCAGACAAGCTATCAGAAATTGGAGGCCTATCGAGGCCAAAAAATATGCATACGAGGTGCAACATACTCATAACAGCAACATATCATATGCAGTTCGATTAGATAAAAAGAGTTGTGCATGTAGATATTGGGATTTGAATGGGATCCCATGTGAGCATGCAACAACTGCATTATGTGCTAAAAATGAAACCCCCGAGAATTATGTAGCTTGTTGGTACAATAAGGACACATACGAAGCTGCATATTCATTTTCTTTGGAACCCATTAATGGACAAGCACTATGGAAGAAAATTGATGAAGGTCCAATCTTACCAAGTGACCCCCGAGTGAAACATGGGAGACCCGCAAATAAGAGAAAGAAGGCATATGGAGAAGGTAAACGGAAAACACATTTGTGTAGGGTTGTTAAAAGTGGTAAACAATTGTGCTCTAATTGCAAAGAACCTGGCCATAAAATTACAACATGCCCACAAAGAGTTAACGGTGCTACACAAAAGTGACATATTGCTGATGCCACATCTTAGTTAGTACGAGTATTGGTAATTGGTATGCTTCTATATGAGACACAATTTTGGTCTTAGTTACTCTATTGTGTTAAATTGTAATTTTTTTTTAATTTTTTTTTTGGAATAAAGTGTGTTTAGTGTAATTGATTTAATATTTATTGGTTATAGACTAAACAAATTTAATTTAGTGACTATTCCAGAAACTATCTTACAACAAGATGCAAAATAAAATGGGAAGTTTTCCATACATACCCAAAAAAATTACTGATAATTATCATCCATATTCTAATCTAATGCTTCAATCAAGTTTTAGACATGAAATTGTATGAATCAATTACCAAATAAACTTACAACATTCATAATAAGATCTATGAACTTGATTAACAACTTTGTAATTGACAAATGAGTATTACCTTTGTAATTGTAGTCCCTAAATGCGCTATATGTTGGTTGGAGCTCCGATGGACAATGGATATGGCGATACGATAGTGCTAGAAGTTCTACAGAAATTCTTTGAAAGTTGTAGAAGGTGGTAGTGAATATTGACTACTAATAGGATTCGTAAACAACCCTATTATTCCTCTCATTAAATTAGCTACTTTAATTTGCACTTAGATTTGAAGATAATTTGTCATTGGAAGGAGAGAGAAAAAATGAGAAAAGGTGGGTACAGGGAGAAAGTTGTATGTAGAATTGATGAAGAAGTAGACCAAAAGTTGGTAAGATGGGAAAAATGGGATACATGTGTCATGAATTATATTAGCATAAATATACGTGTACTATTTATTTGGGGAAAAAAATACGTAGTAGTTGTTTTCCGGTTTGTATTATGTATTAAGATTAAATGTCACCGAAAATATCTAATGGGAGTTAAATTGCACGATTTAAAAAGTAGTGGGGTTAATTTGCTGTTATTAGTACTTAGGGGGCTATTTTGCACTTAAGTCTTAGGTTATGGGGCTCATTTGCCACATATTCCAAACCGAAAATGATTGCCAATTGTATTCTACACAGACAATTTAATTGCAGGGTAACCTATTTTACCTCTTCTAAACAAAATTAAAATTTCAATTCAAGCAAAACCCCAATTGGGATATAAGCGAAATGAATCAAAATTAATTGAGGGATTTTCATTGAGAAATGAACAGCTTCAATCTGCAACAAATCATATCAACTACTGGTTAGTCCCCTTCTTTTTCTCATAGATTGCGTAATTTATATTTGTGGGTTTTCTTGTTTTATTGGATTAATTGAATTGAATGAATGAATTTCTTGTGTTTAATTTCTTTCAGATGTATAGTTTATTGAAATTTAATGTTTGTGATATGGGTTTATAATTTCATTGTTGATTTCTGTAGAGTGTGCTTTTGTGATCATATATTGCAGCGAATTACCTTTACGAAAATTTCTACCAATTTTTACGAACCCTAATCAGTAACTAGGGTTGAATGAAGGGAAAAGATGGATTTTTGGCGTAAAGAATATGAATTGGGATTAAATTTGAAATGGGTATTGGGTTTAAATGCATAGAAAATTACTGAAGCAGCAAGAAGTTCATATGTTAACATTTCAGCTTGGGTATCAACTATCAAGTATTGAATAGACTGTTTCTAGGGATCAGTTTGAGTAGTTTGATTACTGATATAGAGGTAGTAAAGTTGAATTTTGATGATTCAACATATAAAACTTAAGAATAATTAGATTAATTAGTGTAATACAGTTTACAGAACTTCTGATATCCTGAGCAAGAGGTTTGCCTTTTAGAATGTGATAGCAACCTCCAAAGATTGGCATGGAAAAAGAAATAGGAAAACATTGTTAGTACTTTGTCTGGTGGCAATGTGGCATTGCTGTTTTGAATTTTCTGAGGTCAAAAATTGAAGTTTAGCTTAGAATAGTGACTGAGAGCACATGTTGGATTTTCCAAGAGTTCGTCGTGGATTTCTGAAATATGCTACTTCCAATCTTTCGTCTTAGCTTATGCTTCATTTCTTATGGGGAAAAATCTAGATTTGAACAAGGTTCAGTATTTGGCAATTCTGTTCAACTTACTGATACCCTTTTTTGTAGATGAGCTGTAGTGCTGTACAGCTTCAGTTTGACTATTATTGAAGGGAGCTTCTTCCTGTCTAAGTATTCTTTGTCAAATCATCCCCTAATAATTTTGTGTCGTATTACCTCGTTATTGTTTTGTTGTATTTTGTTTTGAGGTGAACCAAGTTAATTGCTGGGTGAAAAGACTATTCTCAGTTAGCTTTAACAAGGATTGTGAGTGGTTTTGAAATTGGAAACAGAAATGCCATCTATGTGGAATGGGGGGTTTCAGGCAATGGTTTTAGTTTTGTTTTAATATGTCTACCTATCTTTCTAAACTCAGACTTGTCTGTGGGATCAGGCTACTATTGTTGGTCTTCAGACTCCAGCCATTCTTCTTTATGAGGTTGGACTGTTGATCATCTCTTTTTTACTTTAATATATACTCAGTAGAAACTGCTAAGCTTAATTCTGCAACTGAGGCTGAAATTTAACTACTCTGAAGTATAATTCCACAAATATGTACCTATGGATCTTTTGTCCCCCCTCCCTCCCCTAAGCTCCTCCTCTAAGGCAGTGTTTTATTCTCAGTCACTATGGTTGACATGTTTCTGTGTTATCTGTTGTAGATAAGGAATAGCAATTGGCTAGTTCTGTATATCAATTGCTTACAGGAGCCATGTCATCACTGATTAGAACTCCAGTGCCCAACATTTCTGTTGCTGGATTTCGTTACCAGAGCCAGAAATATAGGAGGTTTACCAATAATCATGTTGGAGTTACTTTTCCAAAACTCCATATAAAACGCCTTTTGGTTTGCTGCTCAAAGTTGACACCATGGGAACCTAAACCTCTTACGTATGCACCCACTGATGAGGCTGAACCCGAGCTTGTGGAAGAAACTCCCAATTTATTTGACACCCTTAAGTTGGAGGACAATGCAACTACACCAGCTACTGATTCTGAAAAATTAGCTCAAAAAGCCAGCAGCCCATCACAAGGAGCAGGTTTTCTGAAATGGCCATTGTGGATCTTGGGTCCGGCTTTTCTTCTTGGCACTGGCATGGTCCCAACTTTGTGGCTACCCATATCGTCTATATTTCTTGGGTCCAACATTGCCAGCCTACTTTCCCTTGTTGGGCTAGATTGCATCTTCAATCTCGGCGCAACTTTGTTCCTCCTCATGGCTCATTCTACCACCCAACCAAAAGACCCAATGGAAGCCCCCCAAAGCAAGGCTCCTTTCAGTTATCGATTCTGGAACATGTTTGCATCAATCGTAGGCTATGCTATCCCCTTGGCATTGCTCTTTGGCTCACAAAAGGGTTTCCTTCAACCACAGCTTGCACCAATCTCATACTTGGTACTTTTAGGTCCCTACCTCCTCCTTCTCTCGGTGCAGATATTGACAGAACTGCTGACTTGGCATTGGCAATCGCCTGTATGGCTTGTAACTCCTGTTATATACGAGGCCTATCGAGTGCTGCAGCTCATGAGGGGTTTGAAGCTTAGCGCAGAAATTAGTGCGCCTGCATGGATGATGCATACTATAAGGGGGTTGGTGTGTTGGTGGGTGCTGATTCTTGGTTTGCAGCTCATGAGGGTTGCTTGGTTTGCTGGTTTTTCTGCTAAAACGCGTAAAGAACAGAGATCATAACTGTAAAAAGCACCACCGGCTTTGAGCGAGGTCAATATTTTCTTATAAAGGTTTCGGTTTAGCTAGAATCTTACCTTCTGACCGTTCTGGGAATGGATTTTCGTCCTTTTAATGTACGTAATGTTGCTCTAGTTGTGCAAGTGTGATGATTGCTGGTCAGTTGTAATGTCCTAGTTCAGTACTGTATTTGTAACTACTTGTATGTACTAATTAAACCTGAGCGACCTACATTAAATTCTAAAATAAATACCTCCCTTTATTGGAATAAAATGCCACAGACCCACAATTGTCTTCTGAAAATGTTGGTGGCCTTTTTTCCTTTATTTTTTTGAAGGCACATTTACTATGACTATGAGTATATCGTACTAGGGAATATAGTACGAGTACGAGTTACATTTATACAGATCGATCCAACTACTAGTATATGTTTTTCACATAAATGTTATAAAGTTCTAGCTTTTGAGTAAATAAATTAAGTGATCGATTTATTTATAAACAAATTATATACCACCTCCGTTAAATGTTATGTGCAACTTTGGAATAATTTATATGACACAAATAATACCCCAAAGTTGCACATAATATTTAACGGAGGTAGTAAATTGAGCATTATTGATATGGGATACAGAGTAATTTGTAACGTTGGAGGTCAATTCATTTGATATAATCAACAATCAACGTTGAATTACCGTTAGTAAGACAAGATTGACTATTACAAATTCAGTCAAAGCAATTATATCATCAGGTGAAAATTATAGTACTTGTGATCAAAATCAAATCAATTTTTATTTGAAAAAAATAACAAATAAAAAAAAAAAACTTTGATGATAAATTACAACGATGATAAAAATAAAAAAAAAGTTGGCCCTACAAAAATAAAAGAAGAAAACACATAAAACACAGACATAGTCGACACTATTAACACTGTACCACGTCTCCCCTGTCTTCCCATTTTCTCTCTCCTCAACTTTCACTCTTGTTTTTTCTTTCAATTCAAACCTCTATTTTCTTCTTAGATCCTTTCTCTCTTCTTTCTCTCTCTAAAACCCAGTTCTTAATTTTAATTTTGTTTTGATTTTCTGGGTATTTTCATACAATTATGAATTCAGGGGAATATCTCAGCATTCAACCTCAAGAACTTCAATTCCCATGTATTGTTTTTACTTCCTATTTCAATTTATTTGCTTTTTTTGCTTGTTATTAACTTTTGTGATTTTGATTTTGTTTTTTTAATGATTATTACATGCAGTTGAGTTGAACAAGCAGATCCCTTGTACCATGCAATTGACTAATCATACTGATTGCAATGTTGCTTTTAAGGTACTTCACTTTTTATTATTATTTTCTTAAAAAATCCTACTACTTAAATTTCAAAATCCAAGTTTTTTTTTTTGTTTTTTTTTTTGGTAAAAATTGGTTGTATTTTCCCCCAATTTGTAGGTGAAAACAACAAATCCGAAGAAGTATTCTGTACGGCCTAATACTGGGATCGTTTTGCCACATTCTAATCATGATCTTTTAGGTAAAAAAAAAAGTATCTTGATTGTTGATGTCTATAATTTTAGCTTAATTTTTCTGGGTTTGAGTCAAATTTTGTGATAATTAACCGGAATGCTAATACTTTGTGAGTTAGGGGCTCGGTCTAGAAGGAATAGTCGCATTAATACTAGTTTAGGATGTTCGGGAACAATTGTCACATTTATATGAATTATTTATTAGTACAGTTTAAGTTTGCTGATTGATTTTGCCAAATACTCAGTATTATTGCTTAGACCTAATAAGGGGTGTTTTGATTGATTCTGCCAAGTGCCAAGTGCCAACTGCACTATTATAAGGGCTGTTTCAGTAGAATTGTGTTGATTATGCCTTTTAATCGAGGGGTTGGGACAATGCGACAATTATTTGAAGCTGGAGGGAGTATGATTATACTTGATATTGATTTTATCTTTGTTGGGTTGGGGGATTAATTGTAGTGACAATGCAAGCGCAAAAGGAAGCACCTGCTGATCTTCAGTGCAAAGACAAATTTCTTCTTCAGAGTGTGATTGCCAGCCCTGGACTCACTGTCAAGGACATCACTTCTGATATGGTAATCCCTAGTTCATTTTAAAGCACTAATCGCGCATATTCGTATTTAATTCGGCATGCCATAAGTTGCTACACTAGCCTGAGTGCTAATGCTTAATCACCCTAACTTTGATTCATCAAACAGCCTAACAAGGTTGATGGAAAGTTGATTTAAGGGTGCATTTGGTGTATTTTGTTGTTGATGAAAGGTCAAATTTTAATTTTGCCGTGTGCTTTTGATAGTTTAACAAGGAATCTGGGAATTATGTTGACGAGTGGAAATTGAAAGTCTCTTACATTCCACCCCCACAACCTCCAATGACTGTACAAGAAGGATCAGATGAAGGTTCTGTATCAGACAATGGGAATATGGATACCTTTTCACCTGTAAGTTATTCATATATAGCTATACTTAATGCTTGCTCGTTGAGTTTTGCAAAATGCTTTTCTCCTTTTTAACTTCTAAAGTAATTATGACTTTCGTTTTCGCAGGCTACAAGAACCCATGTTGAGCTGGAAGATGATTCACGTCAGGTGATTTTCCATCCGTCAAAGTTGTAATCATTGAATAAGATATCAGATCCTAGCAAACTATCTGATAATTTGTGATTTGAATATGATCAGCCTTAGTTAGATTTTTACATGTGTCGAATTGCTTCCTTGTAAATATTGAATATTTTGCACATTTTGAGCTTATACGAAAAATTAGCAGAATTTTTTTATCATATCACAGAATGTGTTTTCTTTTGTTGTTAGGTATATATCTTTAACCTTTAGGCTAAACCACGAATGCTTTGAGTATATGATGTGCTGATGTTGTATAATCAGCAAGACAACAACCAAATTTACCATTATAGTTATTAGGAAGTAAATGTTTCAAGCATCTGATGTTATGCTGTCCACTAAGCAAAAATTTGCTTAAAACTTCTCAGGGTGCTCTGATTTCTGTAATTGACTATGTGTTTTGATAATTTTAATATTTCAGGTGGATGCTGCTATTTCTAGGCTGATGGAAGAGAAAAACTCTGCAATTCAACAAAACAACAAGCTTCATCAAGAAATGGTATGCTTCTGGTTCTTGCTAATATTTAAATTTTCGAATGGATTTTATACAGCATGAATAAACCATGGTAGTGGATAAAATTGAAATAAACCGAGATAAGGGAGGGGCATCATGGGTAGTCTACACGGAGTATTATTCTGTTAATTAAATATCAGATTTAGTGTGTTTGGATAAAGAAAGGGGAGGGAGGGGAGAATAAGGGAAAAATGATGAGTATTCCTTTTAAAAATCAATTTCTTACAATTTAATCCCTTTATATCTCTCCCTAATTCCCTTCCTTCTTCATTTGTTATCCAAATTACTCTATTCCTCCATTACCCTTCATTACTTTCAATCCAAACACGCCCTTAGTATAAATAAGGGAGTTTAAGCATAGAAAAGGCATGCAAAATATTGTTAAAAAGTGGACACTTTGGAGAGCTCCAACCTCACGAATGTTGACTAGGGGAGAGAGCAAGCCTCTTGAAAGCTTGTACTTTTTTCCTTAATTTCAGATTTTAGTGCAAATTTCATCTTCTTCCATTGAAATTCTGCCTAAATTTCTAGTTCATAAGCTTTATCATGTTCAACTCTCTAGAATCATCTGTCTTATGCTGGTTCATTACAAAGAGAATGACCAAATTGATGGCCATGGATTGCTACTGAATTAGTGAATACTCAAACTTTTATGTACGAGCATTTATTATTTTATTTTGAAAAACTTGTTTTCAAAGATGCTTAAAACATTGAACTGAAGCTTGTTTTGTTAAGAGACTGATGGCTGCTAAAAATTGTAAAGCTTTATGTAGTAGGATAGATGGACATATTCACATTTGCTTGTATAAACTATGCATCAACATGGTCTTCTTTTTCATCCGTTACTGGAAAATTTGATGATGCAGGAGCTATTGAGGCGTGAAATTAGTAAAAAGCGTGCAGGAATTCCATTCATGTATGTTATCATTGTTGGGATTATTGGCATCATTCTGGGATATCTCATCAAGAAAATATGAACTGGGAAGATAAACCTGGCCTATCTGGAGGCTTGAAGTTGAGCTTGCTATTTGGTTATTACTCTTAAGAAGTAGCTGACCAAGATTTTTGGTTTGATAGTCTGATGGTACTAGACGATGATCTTTCAATAGGTTTTGCATTTGTGTCTTATTATCATACATCTAGTTGTAAAGTAAATGGTAATTAAACAAGGATTAACTCTGTCATCAAGTTGTGCATTTCTTTGCCAGTACATCATTTGCTACCAAAGAATTAAAGCATGTACTGTATCATCTTTCTTAGCTATTACTCCATTGTTTGCTACCAAAGCATCTTCAGTGCATTCAATCAATACTGATCATTGCTGTCAGGAGGCTCGAAATAATCTGCATCGATCAATGAAATGCAACGTCAGTTATGCTGTTACTATTTAAGAGTGAATGCATATGAAACTATATAACTTGATACTCTAGAAAATTTTGATTACCCTTCAAACCCTTTCAAGGATTTTCTGGCACGTGTAACATGTTGCACTGCAGAATAATGTTCCGAAAGTCATCCAAAGTTAGCTGAAATGAGGACATATGAGTGTCACAAGCGTTATACTCCATTTCCATGCAAATTATAATATGGTAAAGACTTAGAATAGATGGATATGGAGAATCTCGAACAACTAGAACAGACCTTTCCATCTTTATCACTGTCAAAACAGCGAATCATATCAACTAACTCCTTATCGGTCCAGGTAAAATCATGAGAAGCAGCCATCCGTTGCAAGTCTCTTAACGTTATGCTCCCCTTCCCAGTCTCTGCAACTCATATAGAATGATAAAAGAAAGGTAGCAACATCTTTTAAAGAAATATAGAACTCAAAGCTGATGTTAAGCTTTCTTAAAGGGTAATCAGAATGCATCATATCATGTTATTATATGCTTTTCTATGGTTAAGCTGAGGTTTTAAAAAATCATGTTGAAAAATCAACTAAGAATATCAGTGATAAAGAATACAAATTAATTGACAGTACAAATAGAATAAAAGCAAGTCAGAAATTACCATCGAATTGGCAGAAGTTTATAACCAGGTCATCCTCAGTCATTTGCACACGATTCTTGAACTGCCATGTTGCCATAGTATAGAAACATCAAAACATAACATGAGTGTAGCAATATTTAAACGCTACAACACAGGAATGCTTACTGGTCTTTTTTTCCTCCTCGAATTATCTTCCCGGGAGTTATCATAGCTCTTTTCATTAGCGTTAACTGCTTGATTGCTTGGGCTTAGAGATAATCCAGCATGCTGCATGTCTGAGGTTTCTCCAACATCTTTTAGAGAAAGAGCTATAGCCTGCAGTGGCAGATATCTACCAGAATAAGCAGTGTGTTTTACAACAAGAAAGTAAAATTCTATTCAATTTTCATTTAAGTCATCATATACCCTTCTAATTTAACTCTGGGCGTGAATGCATGATCAATTGATCATAAAAGTCACACTATAATCTAAGTTTAAATGTATAATCACCCGAGTCTCACATTATACCCATCTTACTTGTAAATCCCTCTGGCTAGTTCTAGGTTTTTCCAGCCAGTGAGGTGATCTGAGAATTACCTGCTTTAAAACTTCATCTTCATCCATAAGATCTGTGGTGTCTAACTGCTTCTGCGAAGATTTTTGCTTACGAGACCTCGACTTTCTATTGCTTACCTGGCACAAGCAAAGCAAAGAATCAGTTAGGATAATTTCTTAAATGTAGCAAAACTTTTGATTGGTGGCAGACTTTACTCATAATTACTTTTTTTTTTGTTCAACCTAAGGAGTTCCTTTCATAACAGAGTTTTGAATCATGCAAGAGGCAAACTTAAAAGCTCATTATCTCTTTGACCTCAGTCTGATTGATGAGTGAGTGCAACACTATTCTTTCATAGTTGCTTCTGGGGAAGGAAGAAAGCATTTAAATTGCAACAAAGCACAAGACCGGATTGTTTTTGGGAAAGGGAGAGGGGGCAATACCGCAATATCATACAAGCACAAAGTTCAAATCTTTATAAAATGTTCATAAAATCCACAAAATCAACTACCATCCTCTCCTTTGGTCATAAAACCACTCTATCCTCAATGAGATTGCAACCATGAAGCAACCTGTTGATAGCTGACAGGCAGAGCAAACACTCCAACACTTCAATTAATTTTCTACGCATACATCCATCAAAACTAAGGCATTCCAGAATAATTGCCCATGTAAGGTGGAGCATAGTTGGCATTATAAGGATTCCATGTGGTTGGGGCCATGCCAAAAGGAGTCATGGGAGGACACCAGTAAGGAAAAAACAGCCCGTGATCAGGATATATAGGAGCATTAAATTGGACATGGCCAGTGACAGGAGTGGCAGCCTGATGTTGGGGACATGGAACTTGAGTGGCAGCCTGATGTTGGTGACACGGAACTTGAGTGGAAGCCTGATGTTGGTGACATGGAACTTGAGTGGCAGCCTGATGTCGGTGACACGGAACTTGAGTGGCAGCCTGATGTCGGTGACACGGAACTTGAGTGGAAGCCTGATGTTGGGGACAGAAAACTTGAGTAGAAGGCTGATATTGGAGACAGGGAAAACTTTTAGATCCCTGCAAGATGACAGAGCAACATGAGTAATATATGGTGGGATACAAGGGGGGGGGGAATGGAGTTTTACCTGCACATATGATTGAAATAATTTCTTCAGTCTCGATTGAGCATTTATTAAAGCAACAATCACTCCACAGATTTCTTTACTTTCTTCCAGGTTAAACTACGAGTAACCAAGATGTATTAGAGATTTCAATAAGCATAAAATGCAAAAGCAAAAAACTCAAAAACAAGGCTTACCCCATTAAAACCCTCGGGAAAAGGCAGTCCCTCTATTACCTCCTCACAGAACTCTGGATATATAACATGTGATCTCCTCAATTTCCAGCAATCTGCCTTAAGTCCAGCAATATATCTAAGAGCTCTTTCACCTGTCTCGCGATTAAACTACAAGTAAGAAGCAATCTGAGACAAATTGTGAATTCGATTAGCAAAACATCTACAAAAAACTTGAAATGAAGGCTTACCCAATTAACCCTTTCGGAAAACAATCCATCAACTCCTTAACCTCCTCCTCGGGACCCTTGGGAAACGTTACACATAATTTCTCCCCGCAATGACCAATAAACTGCAGACTGCTATTAGGAATGACAATCCTTGAATCCAGCTCCACCTAGAAATCAAGTCGGTCCATTGAAAGCCGAACACTAGACCCGCATAAACGCAGGCAATCCTCACATTTCACAAAAGTGACACTAGCTAATCCCTCGTATATAATATAGAATATTGGATGCTTAATGAGGCAACTGCCAACGGCATAAATATAATCAAACTTCAACATTTGTTATACAATTATCCCCTATTGATCTCCAGTGTAGCATACTCGACTCCAAGGCACACACATATACATCCAATCCTTGGGCAATGTAGCTACCCAATACCTATTCTAACACCTTCTTAAGCGCTTTTATCGTTTTCCTTCCTTAGAAAAGCATCGTTCCACAACTCACTCTCAATTTAAGGCAGGACAGAATGAAATCGAATTGCAAAAAGTACAAGCATTGTAAAAATGGAGGCCTGTTTTTACAAAAATTCATCCACATTGTCCAATCCACAAAATGAAGTATCAACAAAAACCAACACCAAGAAAACAATCACATATACTAATCCAAAATACACAACATAAATGCACAAACTACATTAATTTAGAAAGCAGCAATCAAGAAAATCAAATTGAACAACTCACCAAATGCACAAACATTTAACCACAATTCAACACCAAAAACACACAAAAATTGCTTTAAATTGAAAAAAAGAGAAAGAGATATTAATCAATTTACCTTCTTCTTCTGCTTCTTCTTTTTCTTCTTTTCTTGCTCCTCAAATTCTTCACTGAAGCTATCCAAACTAGAATCACTACTATCATCTTTTGGGTCTTCTTCATCAATAGGCTGATATTCATCATCATCTTTGCCATTTTTGGAAACCCTTTTGGAATTTAGGTTTGATTTTCTCTTTCCTCCCTTTTGGGATAAATTCATCAAAGAATTCGCAATATTACGCAAACCCAAATCCTCAATTCTGGCCTTATTTTGAGCAATTCTCAATTCTCTTTGTTTCTCATACTCTGTCGCTTTGTTTTCTGGGATTTTCGGGTCATCTGAATTCGAATTTTCGCTAGTTTCAGAATCACTGGTCACTTTCTCCTCCACTATTTTCTGGGTTTTCGGTTTTCTAGGGTTCTTTCTCATTTTTTCCTTTTTGTGTTTTGGGAGTCTAATGAAAGAGTTCAGTGCTTCCAATATTTTCTCAAATTTTCTTTCTTTCTCAACTTCTTCTTTCTAAGACTCTTACAGTCCTACACTCCTACTACTCCGTAACTCAGAATCTCGGATAGTAAGAATGTAGGTTTTAACAGGGAACTTCATTTACATGGTCATAAAACAATTACTTTGCATATTTTATACGCAGTATCAAAAGTTTCAATTATTGAAAAGCATGATCCAAGTAATAAATCGTGCATCGAGCGGCTCAAAATGCTAGTTACATTTGAAACAAAGTTTTCGTAAGTAATGAAAACCATTTGGATGTATATAACCACCCCGTCAAACCCAATATTCATACTAATGCAAACTGTATGGGCATCACTCACCAAATTAGGAAATGTGATAATTAAGATTGAGAGTTTTGAGACATAAATAGAATGAAATCTAAAGTTATAAATTTGGAAGAAAGGGAGTATTATCCTTTGTATTTTGGAGAAAATACATCATCGAGATTTCCAACAAAATCGTTTTCACCGATAGAACACCAGACTTCTAATCAACTTCGAACAACTTGTCCACTAACTAATGCAAGAATTTATTGAGAGTTACTGAGTTAGTGAGAGTATAGAGTTTTTCGAGTTAATCACCTACTATTATCAAGCAAGGCTTGGCGGATTGGGCAATGAACCAAATGGTGTGATTTGCAGTTTTGCACCTCATAACTCCAACGCTAAGAGGTCAACTTTTGTAAGGGAGCATTTTAGGGTTGAAAGAAAAATCGTGTCTCCTCCCCCCCCCCCCCCCCAAAGGACACACTACCCACTAATCAAGAATGGGTCAACCTATTCAGTTAATGTCACTTACCAACAAAATTTAGTAGTATGAAATTTAAGTCAATCTAGATTTATAAAGCTCGCTAATCACTTTGAAAAAATCACAACACAACACAAACACAATCATACTGGCACGATATACAAGTAAAATTAGAACTCTTGTAAGATTTGTGAATTGTGATTGTTGTAGTTGACTCCATGATCCAATCCTAAGTGAATTTTGTAAGCCATAGAACTATGAAGCACCGAAACACAAAAAAACCATGTCCAAAGCTAATAAGCAATGAGATCCTTCAATAACTATGGTAAGATTGGTAGGAGAGAGAGTTGGGTTTGAAATGGGCCCACTGTGAGCGACAAAAGAACATGAATTTTGCGGCCCAAGTGGGCCTACTCCACGTGGCATAAGATTGTCTCACATGGGTCCCTTCCACGTGGCATGCTATGCCGCCCTTTGCGCTCTGGGGTTGCAAACCTTTCTCTTTTGTCATTTTAAACTTGGTTGGGAGTTGGGCCTCCATTTACGGACCTACACTCTACTATTAGGCCCCATTTGTGATTTCACTTCACATGTGGGTCCCACTTGTTTTTTTTAATTATACAATTGGCTAACAAAATATACTCGTATAAATGTATAATTGTGTTAATTAAACTAAATACAAATTTGATTTGATTTTATTTAAGTAGGGTTTTGAATGTAGCATGCCATGTTAGAGTGAGGGAAGTAGGAACCTAAATCTAGACACATAAAAATATGGGATGTTTTTTTAATCAAAATAGTCACTCTTTATGTTCTATGCCTCTATCGATCTACGATTCTAGCAGCAATTTAAAGATGATTATAATATATTCTTATATATTATTTTAAAAAAATGAAAATTGCAATGATCTATACCAATCCTAAATTATTTATAGAATGAGATCAATGATTTAATGTGCATTTCACAATAATACATGATAGGATTAGAATCAAAAGATACGTATCAGATATATGAATATTTTAGAATCAATATTTAACTTTTGTAATTATATCTTGAATGGTATGAGAATAACCTTGAATAGTTGAATGTTTTTGTTAAGTTTAGATATAAAAATAACAATTTTATTTAAGACGAGCTTTTAAGGATATACAATCACCTTATTTCAAAATCTATATCAACAAAGATGGGAAGAACATGAATTGAATGATAATTAATTAGATTTTTGCTTATAATGAACTATTTCATTTATCACTATATAAAAGGAAAATACTTCAAAATGATACTTGCATTATTTTGAACTTATCTATTTGCAATTGGTAAGGTTTTACTAATGGCTAACAAAAAGGCAGACCACAGCTCACCAAACAAAAATAACCTAGTGGTAGCTTCAACAAATTAAATGCCAGCTCAAAAAGTCTCCCACTTTTAGTTTCTAATACATAATTACCTTCTAATTTAAGCCATTCGAGGTCAAAAGTGTTTAGAAATAACAAGAAACAAGGAAATCAAACCCCCCATGCATTAATTTTGCACATTTGTGGACCAAATTAAAGACAAAGCATGATACAATTACTATAATTTAATTGGTATATAGTTTAGTACTCCCTGGATCAAACCAAACATTAGGGCATGCCCTAAACTAATATGAAGTATAATATCATACTAATTAAATGTTTGTGGGATCAACTAACTTATTTGGTTAAAGTATTAAGTAGTATTCAAGACTCGGGATCAAATTTCAAAAGAAAGTGTGTTAATTATTCTAAAACAGGATAGTAGCAATAATTTCTCTAATTTTCTATAATTCACTTGACAATACTATTTATTATTTAGTTTCACTGAAACGGAAAAAATCTTTATTTTGGCATTATTTTGCTTAGTTTTTGGCTTATATATCTACCCTTAAAACCTCTAAATTGGCTCTCTCTTTTTCTCTCTCCTTCCTAATAAGGTCTTGAATTTAAGGGTATGTAGGTTGATTTTAGAAGAAACAGGAAGACAAAAGAGAGGTCACTGACCCATACTATACCATGTTCGATCTTCAAAATATACATCTTAAATTCACCTTCATTTAATGCTTATGATCTCTTCTTGTATTATTATTAGCTTATTTCTTGTTCTCACTATTTAAACACAATTTTTGGTGCATCATCACTACTAGCTTTGAATCTCTCTACCTCCTAAAACCCTAGCATATCATGTCAAAAATCTCTTGTTTTGCTACCATCTCCCTTCTATGGTTATTTTCCTTGACTACATCAGCTAGCGCGAGCCGACGACTTACCGGAGTTGTTGTCAACCAAGAGCTGCCTCAAAACACCACATTTCAAGATCCTATGAAGGTTAGTGAACATGCTATACATATACATACTGTTACATGAATTAGGGAACAACGCTTGTTTTTATATAATTAGGTTTACTAAATATTAATTGAAATATAGTCTACACTCCATTTTTTTTTAATTTTTACTCAATTTTTTTCTACTATAAATCCCTTTAATTGGGGAAAAAAAATAAAATTGTGTATGTACACATCATTATGTAGAAAATGGAGAAGGTGAAAGTTAAGAGTACAATCAACATGAACGAGCCATCTCAAGTGACTTCTACGAAATTATTAGACGATGAAGACGGGATGAAGACGATGAAAAAGGAAAGAAAAAAGAAGGAAGATCGACACGATCACAAAACCGAACATGATACAAAACAAAGCAGAAGACAAGATGGAGCAACGCGTGCATACACTAAAACTTTAACGAAGCTCGTTAAGAGGAAGAGTCCTAGAGTTGTACTATGGCGTGTGCCGAGGCCGAAAAATGAAGTGCCACAAACAGGTTTTAACTTAGATTATGCACCACCAAAAGTGCATCCTCCTACTCACAACTAAAAATTTGAATTTTCAAGTTTCAAATCCTTGAGAAAACTAAGTAGTTAGAGTTAAGCGGTACGTTGATAAGACCAAATAATCTACGGTCTTTTACTCTTTTATATATCAAATAGTAGTAGAGTGTAACAACTCGTTTTTTGTACATAATAATAATTTTTTTTCCTTCTATGAAATAGTATATGATATGATCATCAAGTACGTAATTATTAATCTTATTACTTAGAAATGTTAACTTTGATCATAAATTTGTTATTAGCTTCTTTTTTCTTTAGTATTTTCCACTTTATAATTCAATCATTAATTTTACTTGTATCTTGTTTATGCATGTAAAGTGTACATGTTTATCAGAAACGACTTGGTTTTGATTTTCGTTGAATTCCAGTCATCACTACTGATTAGTATGTCTTGGTTTATTTAGACCGTAAGAATTTTCGTAATCACACGATTCACACCAATGTTTAGTTAAAATTAATTATTTAAATTCTAACCATAATATTTTTCAGTAATGAATAATAATTAATATTGATAAATTAGGATGTGGAATGATATGATACTACACAACATTTAATTTCAGTGTAAATGTTTCCTTATTAAGAATTTCGTGTCTACGTATTGATCATTTGGTTTTTTTGACACCAAATGAACCAGACTTTCAATTTAAAATATTGAATGTTTGTAATTCACGGTGAATAATAATGCTCTATATACGTGAAAGCATAATGTTCATAGTTTTCAAATTACACTTAAAAAAGAATTTAGTGCATGTATTGATTGCCGCATTTTGATGCTTATAAATGGGTGATGATGATCATCTAGTCCAATTTATGTAGATGCATTGTCATGAGCATCATATTAGATGATTACAATAGGTCTTTTACACGACAAGTGATAACAATAAGTTTAGATTACTTCAAATAAAATTACATACAAGTAGAAGTTTTTTTAAAAACTGATTTATGTGATTTTCATCATCGATCAATTAATCTTGTATACAGTACTAAACACTAGTATATTAAACAGATTTTGCCTATTACGTACTCCTACTATATAAAATGTTTGTTATACTATGACTATGCTCTGTTTTACTGAATTGAGTTGGATTGAACTAAACTGAATTGAGCTGAACTGAATTGTTTATGAGATACGAATATTAGCCATTGAATTAAATTGAACTAAACTAAACTGAATTGTTTATGAGAAAAAGAAATTAGAAACTGAACTAAAATTAAGCTGAAGAGAACAGGTCCTATGTATACATAATAATAATAATAATTAACACTCCAATCTATTAACAATTATCCGTTATTAATTACCTACTTTATTGTTTACGCGTCTTTTAGATAATGTAGTCCAAATTAATAGGGGTTTTTTTTTTTTTAGTTGAGCTAATGATAGAAGATAAAACTTGTGATCGACTTAAAGTCACTACTCACATTTTTGACTGGTGACAATATCCCCTCACCCTCTCTAGGGTCTTGTTCAATTCACTAGCATCCCAAACTCACAATAATCAACGAATTGAACATACTAATTCATTAAATTAGTACAACACAAATTAAATTATATTTCATATTTCCTATTAGAGGATGTTCCAAGTACAGTCTTCCAATTCTTTCAAACAAAGTCATACACTACGAATTCCAAAGATGCACAAAGAATAATAGAATATGACAAAGTTAAAAGTCAAATAACTAAATAACAAACGCAAACTTTAAAACTAAAGTTTATCAAAGAGTCCCCACCAACTTACTATAGGTACGGTATAGTAATTAATAAAGGAGGATGAAGTTATATTTGACCAAAATTAATCAACCATATTTTAAAAAACTTAGTTTAATCATATTATTTGTATATATTAAATCATAAATTGTACCAAAAAATAGTAAAAGTGTATGGATGAACAATGCATGCAGCAGATTCAAAGCTAAAGTTAAGCAACAGATGAGACAGATTAGTATGACTTTTCCAAGAATGTCTCCAAAAGCTAACCCAAAGTAAACGTATAATTCGATAATAATTTGTAAATCCCAGTAAAGGGTAGTTAATAGAAAAATAAGCAAAGCCAAAATTCATACTAAAATAAACACAAACATCCTGGGAGTAGAATCCCTATTACATGGGACGAGTACGTGAATTTTGGGTTTGCCTTTTTATGCGATCAAAGGGTTGCAAATTGTACCCCCCATGTGGTCGTAAATTTCTTGGTCCATTCAAAATTGCTACATTATTCATCTTAACTACATGAAAAATTATATAATACGGAGTTGTAGATTGCACTCGTCTATGAAAAGGAATGAATGTGCAAGTGATACAATAAAATGACACTATTTTCTTAGCTTATTTATCGAGTAGCTTCAATTGCTACTAGTAGTTTTAGTTGTGAAAAGTTGTCAACTTTGTTATTTGTTCTAAATTTATCACCATTGCCGATCCTTTTCTAATTATCAAATTAAACTACATTGAACCATATTTGAATTAAGGAGGACTTACATAGAAGTATAATTATTTAGGAGACCTTGAGTAAAAAGGGGGTGTGGAACGCTATTGTTTTGATAGAATTGGATTTACATTAATGAAACAATAATTAAGTTAATTAATTCAAACAATTACAAATAACTACAATTTGAAATACGAGTCTTGTTTTGTTTATTTGACCTTAGCTTATGTCTTGAGTAATTAATAGAATCAACAAAAATAATTATTATTCATGTCACCTTTAAAGTATGGGGTAATATCAAGCTACTCCTAATTTTTACATATCCATTCATGTTGAGGTAGTGATCATGATACAGAGGCTCATATAGTGAGTACTTCCAAATTAAAGTCTCACCTCACTAGTCCCTACTCCCTCTGTCCTTAAATTATATTTTTAATTCTAGAATTTATTCCTCACATAATAGAGAGAAGTAGGAATGTAATTTAGGGACAGAGGGAGTATCATTCATCATTCTATCGAAGGGCAAGAATAAAGAAGCGTAGGCCAAATAATACGGAAACAAAAGGATTTCATGAATGATTAATTTACAAGTGCTACAAAGTATTTATGTTTTGTAGAGAATTTCTACTATCAAATAGTTAGGTCAAGTAAAATGTACTCATCAATCATTATACTATTATGAGTATTATCATATCTCATTTTATTAAATGCTCCATTATATAAACTAAAGCTAAAACTAAACCCAACATACAAGTACATGCATGCATATATAATAATGAATGATAACATATCTCAAATAAAAATTGTTTACATATATTTATTAGTTGTATATGTATTGAAATGAAAAACAATGATTAAACAAACAATTGAAAAAAAAAAAAGTCAATTTAAATAGAAAATTGGACTAGTTTTGACCAAGCGATTAGTAGACAGAAAAATGGGGGATAAAGGAGGGAGACAACTCCATTATTAGCCAATAGGTAACATTAACTTCAATCAAGTTTGAGACTTAAATATTCATTCAATCATATTTTGATTGAAAATCAAATAATTCAATCAATTTTCAATAATATGGAGTACAAAATACATGTAAAGTTCAATAAATTCATTAAATTGATTAGATACAGGGTATGTTCTGATTGACTGAATTAAACTAAATTAAACTGAAATAAAAATTTAATAAGAGAAGGAAATTAAAAACTGAATTGAACTAAATATTTTATAAGAGGAGGAAATTAAGAGCTGAATTGAACTAAAAATTATTTGAAGAGAATAGATCTGTAGTATAAATTTAGTTCAACCAAAAAATAAATAATCAAAATGAATAAAAATAAGTTAAATTTAACAAAATTAAGCCCATGAACATTCCAAAAAGAGGAAGCCCAAATTAAACCTCCATTTTTTCGACCAAAAATATCGAATTCCTTGTGCATTGTCATCTTTGACTATCGTTTGACAAAGTTGAACTCCGAAACATTTTCCCGCCAACACAACATACTTCCTAAATCCCACCACAAAATTCAAACAGTTCTTCCTTAATCATCAGCAACATTCAACACGGAAACAGATAGCAAGCTTGATTACAATGGAAGCCAAAGAAGCTGGATCTTCAATTGAATCAATAATGGTGTCCTTCAATACTCGCATTTCCGAGCTCCAAGAACTCATTATCGCTCGAAACAGTTAACTAATTCTCTCTCCCTTTTCCACTCTTTTTTCTCACTCAATTTGGTGAAATTTCATAAATTTTATGTAATTGATTGTCAAAAACCTAATTTCAGTGTATCCGGGAAGTACCGTCGCCGATCTCACGGCGGTTGATGCGGCGGTCAAAGCTATGGAACTTCAAGTTCAATCTATTAAGGATAGATTACGCGAAGAAACCCTAGCTCTTCCCAAAGCCAAGGTTTCTCTCTCTTTCTCTCCTTTTTTAATTGAGGATTTTTTGTTTTTGTTTTTTTTTTGTTAGGGCTTATGAATTATGATTTCAATTTTGAAGTTAGGGTTTTGTATGATTGAAATTATGAGATGAGATTGATAAAAAGTGTTACAAATATTATTTTGGAGATGTGCGCAATTTCGGATGTAAGCCCTCTAATTGATCAAATAGATGATAAATTAAAAAAAATTCTGTTTTGAAAATATGCAGAAATTGATTGAAGCATCTCTTAAGCAGCAGAAAAAGCTGCAGGAGATGGCAAGTCAGGTTCCTTCTCACTTAACCACGAAAACGATGTCTTCACTGCCCAACTCTAATCACCAGTAAGTCTATGCTTTGATTCGTATAATGATTTCTAAATTGTGAAATTTTATTTTTACAAAGATTACTAAATTGGCAATTTGGAGGTTGTTAGTAAGTTGATGCATTGATTCGTATAATGATTTCTAAATTATGAAATCTTTGATTCATATAATGATTTCTAAATTATGAAATGTTATTTTTCACAATGATTACTAAATTGGCAATTTGGAGGTTGTTAACATTATTTTTTCATTGATAAAGTTTGCAGTCAGATTCTTCTAGGGATGACCTATCATCGTTTGGTTCGTTGAAGGTTGAAGAGGAGCCGGTTGTAGTGCCCAAGGTAACTTGAATGTTTCACTATAATAGTCTTATATAATACGGTCACTCTGTTGGTTAGCATAAGAGGATTTCAGTTTATCGCTAATTATGATTGATTATGTATCCTTACAGGAGAAAAAGGGTCGTGCACCTCCGCCTTTGTGGTACATTTCTGGAGATGAGTTGGGATCCCTATCGTCGTTAAGTTCCTAATAACCTTGCCAATTTGATTAAGATTCGTTTTTTGTTGCTTGGGTATATGCTTGTTATAATATCTTCTATAGTTTCTAACTCTTATTCATGGTGATTAATAGCTACATGAGAGGAAGGTTGACCCTGGAGAAAGTCAATGCTGCTATTAATGATATGGCAGCATATGCTGAATCAACTGCTCAGCTTATCTCAGCCCCTAAAAAGAAGGTTTACTGCTTTATCTTATGTTCATAGTTAAATATTCTGTGGTGTTTGAATCATTTATGTACTGATTGGTGTAATTTTCTTTGTGAAGTTGCCAGAAAACATGTGGGAAAGAGCCTTGGTGAGTTAATCTTATTACAATTCACTTATTTCAGAACATCTTACAATGAATTAGATTATCCCCTTCGTTTTATGAGAAAAATCTGTAGTTAAATTTGGTACTTGTTGAGCTGTTTTCAACATTCTATTTTCTTCCCTTCACCTGTCTAAGGTAACACGAAGCTTTATATCAATGCATAATTCTGCTAAAATGTTCAGCATTCCATCTTTCTATGCAGGAGCTGCGAGATATAGCAATGACTGAAGGAGTTAAAGGAAAGCATTTTTTTCTTGAGAGTGACATAAAGGGACCTTCCCTGAAGCTTGACAACACTGGAAAAGCAATACTGACGGTGAGTCAACCCCCTCCCCCTGTTCTCTTATTGACAAGCAGGCAAATTAAACAAGTAGTTAAGGTTGTTCTCTCTTGCTTACTTGTAACAAACGTAAAAAAATAGAATATAGCAGCAATTTTTAAAATCTATGAATTCATTCTGCTTTACTTAATGTAACACATTATTGAACCTCAACTACCTCTCTATGTCCATACTAAGAACTGATTTTTTTTCATATTTGGAATACTTGATCTGTTGTTGTTCTTTGTAATTCTTCACACCCTTTGTTTGTGAGATTGGGTATTGGTTAATGATGCCAACATTATGTTGAATTTTGCTGAAGTGATTTCAGTTTTTTTTATCAAGATGTAAATACTCAATACTAGCTAGTAACCGCAAATATTAGTCTATTACCTTGACAAGTTCATGTGTATCAGAATTGCAGCAACAGTTTCTAATAGAGTAATAGCAGTTTGATGATACAAAAATTTGTTATATCTTAATATTGGCAGCATTATTGTTTCGTGCCTCCACCTCTCTGATTGGCATAAGTGTATGGACTCAGGGCTTGCGTTATTTTTGCACATGAGAAGTTTTAAGTCATCCCCAAAAAACAGTTGCTTTGATTGTCAGATCGGCATCTAAGTTAGTCAAACTCGGTTTCCTTGAATTCCTTCCGATAAAAACCATTCTAACTTAATCATAGAGGGACAAGAAAAGTGAAAAAAAACCATAGTGTCTCTGCAACACTTTATTGCATGCTGTGTTACTGCCCCATAGCTGCTGAGGGCAATTCTATTCTAGCTGCTGAGATTTTTTTTTAAAAAAAATAAATAGATATCTTTAATTAATTCTAGCTTTGGGTGAGCTTATTCTACTTTTGTTAATGTTGGAACATGTTTACTGCCTAAATTGATGTCTGGTAATGAAAACCTTACATAAAATCATTTTATTTGTGATCTCTTACAGGTTCTTCGTCACCTAGGCCGTATAAGTGAGACAAGGGTTGGACATCACCGAGTGATTATCCTCTCAAAACCTCACTGAATGAAATATGAAGTACTTTTCGCTCTTGTTCTTCCTGTCTTTGTTCAGTGTTCATTTTAAAGACTGTAGTGGAATGATATTATGATACTTACAATTGCAGGCTCAACCGCTCAACATTCTTATCAGTGATTTCGAAGATGTCATATAGAATACTATGTTGAAGTTGTGTGTGGTAGATTAGCAATCTCCCATCAGCAAAGTTGGGAGTAAGTTTACCTTTATGGCTTTGCTTGTTTGATATGAGTAATTGTTTGTATACTGAATTACTTAACTACTAAAGCTATAAAGCTATCATTTAATCCCACTTTATATTTAGTAAGAAATAATTGTGGTTAAGATGCAAAGAGGCTTCCATTCAAGTTAGCATTTCATTGAACTTTATGTTTGAATATCTTGATTGTTTAATGGTCTTGGAATTATTCTTTTCATCTTTTTTTAAAAAAAAGCTCATACAAAGAAAGTTATGTTCAGAAAGGGATACCTTAGTTAAACTCACAAGTCACAATTGTATTATGTTGATATAAATTCAATTAAGAGCCAATAAGCTTAGATATGAAAAACTAAATTCACTTCAAGGGTTTCCCGCTGAACATAATGAAGCTAGAAGCCTAGAATAGCCAAGAAAATGGATCAAGTCAACCATGGTTAACTAAAGCAGTAATTGACAAACAAACTTTATAGGTCTTATTCATTATAGAATATAGAGCATTTCAAACATTATTTTCCAAACTGAAACTTAAAAAAAAAAAAATTAAAAAAATCACGCATTATCAAGCAATAATTGGACTTCATGATGTCCAATATTTAACATTTAAAACCTTTTGGCACCTTCTTTCCACAGCCATTGAGCAGGAGACTTAGGGCAACAGGCACCTTAAGCTTGACGACACCCAACACATTAGCTTTAAGTGCTGTGCACAGACACACTGCAGCTTCAAGATCAGCAATGCCCTTTACGAGGGTACAACATTCTGGACTAGGCTTAGTTCCAATTACTTCAGTAACCAAACCAAGCCAGCTACCACAGACCCCAAATTTAAGAGTATCTTTAGGACATTTAGGTTTTAGGCCTGAAGGGGGAGAGCATGGGAGAGCTGGGATACTGTGAGCTGAAGCACAAGCACAGAACAGTATGTTGAAAAGTATGAACAAAGCAATTGCCTTTGAGCTCTGAAAATCCATTTTTTTTCATACAAGTAATCTGCAGATATAATCTTTATAGCCTGATAAGTGTTTATATATAGCGTGAAAAATATAGTGATATGAAGTTATGAACTGTATTTATTTTGGCTCTTTTGCCTTTCTGTTTTGGGGAAGTGGGGTTGAGAGGTTTATGAGAATTGATATTATCAGTGTTTTGTGGACAGTATCTGATACTCCTGTGTGCCCGGAATTTTATCACATTGTTCTCAAGAATCTCAACCTTTCATGACTATGAAATCTCCGTACTTTCACTAAAATGCCCTTTTATAATAGCTGTATACCTGTTGTCTTCCCATTTCACAAGGTTTTAGAAATTATGACTTTTCTTCCGGACTTCGTGAAATAAGATACGAAAGAGAGTAGTAGTACTTTTCGCTGTTTGAGGACCATATAGCCATATAAGTGTTAATGTAGTGGCTGCTAGCGCATGTGAAGCTTGCTACTGATCTTGTGTAATCAATCTTGTTGTTGTTGCCATATTTAGCTATTGACCAGGGGCTTCAGGGGTCAGGGCCCATATATTATTAAGCTTGCTACTGATCTTGTGTAAATTGTTTGCTTCAGTCCTTTGCTTGAGAGCTGGCACTGGACCTTGGTTGGTAGCCTACAGGCTAGTGCTCTGGGTAGTGTTGCCTGTTGGGCTAAGCTGGCACTATCATTATTTCGGAGTATTGTTTTTGCTCAATTTGTTTCAGATTTTCATTAATTGGGTTAGCTGCGGGTCATCCCTCATGCCTCATGTCATGCTGATTTTTTGTGAAACTTGGCCATCCCATGATATTGAACTATGATAAGATGGTGACTTGGAGAGTTATTAGCTGAAAGCCAGATGTTTTGATAGAAGCAATTTACAGCCTCAAAAATATTTATCCTTGCTCATTTAGTCGGCTTGGTCCTCTCCGTCATGGATGTTGATTGAAATAATTAATGAACCCGTAACTTGGCAGTTTCAGAGCTATTGGAATTGCATACATAATCTGTGAACTCAAAACTCTCTCAATTGAGAATGAAACACTATTATCTCATGCAAGTATGCAACTAGGGATGTTTTTTTAATGTAGGAAGTCTAGGAACAATGATAGTATGCTATGGGCTGGTACAATGAGTTGCTGATGATATATTTTGACTCCATGGAAAATATGATACCTATTGAGCATTGAACATAGAAATTAGGTTAAGCTTTTCTGAAGCCATATACATGTATTATTTATTCCCTTTCAAGAGTTTCAACTGGATACAAATATTTATTTTCTTTTGCTCATATCTGTCAAAAGCTTTGTTAGGTGTTCAAATTTTTTTTTTACTGATTTGCCTTATATACTTGCACTACGAACATGAAGCACAACCTTAGTTATATTGAAGTGTTCATCCCAGGTGTTGAAGCATAAGAGTAGATGGATGCATTATCGATAGTAGAAACATATGTTCCTACCTCCTATTGAAAATTATTTGCCATGAGTTTCACTGGGGGAATAAAAGACTATTGCTGTGAAGTGTTAAGTGATTTGCACTATTAGGCACATAACTGTTTTATCTATTCATCATAGAGCTAACATGAGGAACCACATTGGTGACATCTGTTTTTCAAACTAACACTGAAAAGCTGAAGTTGGAGATAGTACAGAAGCAACCTAACAAATGAACTTCGAGATGGCTTAATTTTTGGCATTTGAAGCACTCAGGAACCTTTTTCTGCAGTCATTGAGCAGCAGACTGAGAGCATTACGCACATGAGGCCTGACACTCAACACATTGGCCTAGAGTGCTGTGCGCAGACACACTTACAGTCTTGAGATCAGCATGCCCTCTACTAGGGTGTACATCTATCTTAGTTCCAAAAACTTCAGTAATGTCTAAACCAAGCCAGCAACCATAGACCCCAAATTTATGAGTATCTTTAAGACACTTTGGTTTTACTGTTTAAGGCTGGAAGAGTTGAAGGTGGAGAGCATAGGAGCGATGGGATACTGTGTAGTACAAGATGTTTACTACAAGCAGAGCAATCGCTTTTGAGCTCTATATATGCAGGTCTTTCATACGAATAACCTCAAAGTTTGTATTATTAAAAAATAATTAAAAATTTGACTTATTTTTGACAAATTGCTCAGAGTTTCTACAGTATTGAAATTCTCATTTTTATCATTTAAAAAATAAAGGAAAAAGAATTTACCTTTGAAAAATAAAATAAAAAAATTCCAACGGACGAAGGTCAAAGGATATACTTGGAAAAATCCAACAAAATTTGAAGTCTGTGATTAATATAAATCATCCTCCTGTGCTTTCATTTGTAGCATGTCTTTCTTACGCCAAACTCCCCTCTCTCCTATCTCCACCGGTCCATTCCTCCTATAATCGAGTTTTCCATTGAAACGGCTTCTGAGGTATGATGTTTTCTCTCATTCTTATTTTTAAATTTTAATATTCGAATATCAATTTCAACATCTAGGGTTTGTGGTTAATTCTATTGTCAGTATATCCGATTGAAGTATTGGTTTTAATTTAGGGTCCTTTATCAATTATTTTCAGAATTATAATCATGATGGGAAGTGATGATTTGCGGGGTGTAATATTTACAAACCCTCTAATTGAGGTTTGTTCTGTGTCAATCCGGCCGTATAAAACATACAAATCATGTCAAATACATGGTGTAATCACTGCTGTTGACGGCAGAGACGAAACTTATGAGCTCTTTAATAGGAGTAAGGCCAATCCCCAGACCATCGACTCAGCCAGTCCTCAGACCTTATTGCTAACGGGTCCTAAACTCGGTGCTATCTCAATGGACGGTGACGTTCGCCTTGATTACCCATGATGGATCTAGTAACCCTTGAATGAATAACTCTTGAATAAGTAACCCCTTAAATTTACCCCAGACCAAACAAGTAACCTCAGAATAAGTAATCTTTGTAAGTAACCTATGACAAACGAATAACCCCTTACAAGTAACCCTTGACCAAATGTGTAACCCCCTACAGGCAACCCCTGACCAAATGAATAACCCCTAACCAAACGGGTACGTAACTCCCTACAAGTAACCCCGACCACACAGTGTGGCCAGCTACGTATAAAAAATTGTATAAATTTTCAAGAATTTGCATAACCTATTGTTAACCAAAAAAGCACTAAATTAATGAGTTTGAACAAAAAAAAAAGAATTAACTCATAGATGATGAAGAATTAACAGGTTATGTTATTGAATACTGAAATGTGACATCGATGCATCAGGCAGGGATAATCACCGACCTAATAAAGTGGTGTGGTATCAATTGTACATTGTATGGTCGCTTGGAGATGGCTTTAACTCATAGTCGTCCACACTCCACCCCATCATAAGCTATATACAAAACCATGTATGCTACATTATTTTAACCTCCCACAATTGAGGTTATGACATGATTTAACTAGCTGTACTGTGTTATTTCAATCAATTTATCAGTACAGATTCAATATCAAGTAAATTAAAGGATGTGTTATTTCTATCAATTTATCAGTACTGATTCAATATCAAGTAAATTAATATGCCAAAAATTTCAATGCATACATTCTATTAATAAAATTATGCAGAACTTTACAAGCTACATGGTAAGTGATTAGTAGGAAATGAGGTAACATAGTATTAATTCCAAACAGAGGAACTATTTGTTCAGTTCAAATTACATTCTTGTGAAGCATATTAATACCGCTTTCCCATGCATAAATATCTGTTTATGTTGTTGCTTCCTAGTTTCTTGATTCTATGCATATCCATAGCATCCAAACCATGGCCTTGTGACTGAAGTGAAAGAGATAAGCCAGAGATTTATCGAGACTCGGGTAGAAGTAACTTGTAAGGTTCTACTCCTGACTCTGAATTTAGTCAAGGGACTGTTGTTAGGTGTTCTTATATGACCCTCAGTGAGAGTTTAAAGAAATGATTTGCAATCACGTCACCGGTAAGTCCTTTCCCATTCCTCAGAAATGTCCAGTGACTGTCAATTCGATCGTAGTCGTTTATGTCTTTTGTAGTTTACTAAATAGTGATGCTTGAAAATAATGTCTATTCACTGAAAATTCACCTCAGAGAATAATGTCCAATGACTAAATAATGACCAAGTCACCTCAGAGTTGCAATTTTCTGAGGTGAATGGACATTATTTTTTTTTTTTTTTATTTTTTTTTTTTTTGAAACCTATTGTTAAAAATGGACATTATTTAGTTCCAATGACTAAATAATGATACTTGATCTTGCACCACCTGCCAAAGAGAACTTAAAGCCAGACCTCACACCAAGTCCTGTTTTGGAGGTACTTTATTATATATCTGCCTAGTAATGTTCGTGCAATAAAATGTGCGCTTTGTGAATTAGTGCATCGTTATTCA